GGGCTGTATCCAGGCACTCCGCGTTGCATCGTGTCTAAGAACAGCCCTTAGCCGTGGTATATTGGCCACACCCCCTCCTGCCTTATTGCTTGATTATAGCACTTTTCTCATATTTATGTCTGTTGTTTTTTGTTATATGCTGAGAAAATCATCATCATTCATTTTCTGTCACATACTTTTTTAAAGTCAGTGGCTTGTTCATAAATGTTGAGAAATTATTTTATTGTTTATTGTCAATAAAAGGAGTGTATACATTTATTTTGTTTCCTTTCATGAGTCGTTATTAAACACGAATTATTCTGCAGTAATGGTAATAGGCATCACAAAGTAATTTTGAGAGGTTTATAAATTAAGATTATGAAGCAGAATGCATTTTGATGAAATTTTTACTGTTTGAAAAGGCTCTCCTGCATGGTTGGTCGACTTGCTCCCACATTCAGACATTGAGTCACTAATAAAATTATATTGGTTCTGCTTCTGTGGACTGTATGTCATTGATGTCTAAGAAAGTATCAGTATATAACACAGCAATGTTATAGATACTTCTGGGTGGGTATAGCCAATAATATTTTTGTTATTTTTTCAAGAATGGCCAAAGGGTTAAATGTTTCTAAAGATGTTTTACTTAGTCTGACACAGTAACAACATAGGCTCACGGCAGTTTCATCACTTTAGTAGCACTTTACACTTGTGCCCATATAGGGGTTGAAAATGGCAGATTTGGGCACTAATAAGCGCCTAAATTGGAATGCAGCGGCGGTACAGTAACACGCTATAAATGACGTCAGAGCTTCAGAGCGCTGTATGGGCACAGATAGAACAATGAGTTATTGTATAAAAATCTTTGGTATGGGTTTTGTGTTGAAGCCACCGCTCCATCTTGGCACTCCTAAACCATTGTAAAACATATTTTGGAAGCTATAGAAATGCATTTATTAATGTATATATTCGTTTTTGCCACATGTATTATATTACAGACACCTTAATGCATAATTGTACATTATATTATGTCAGCTAAACATTAAAAAATAAGTATGTTAAAGTATATATTTTTAAATGACTAATGTTACTGTCCCCATTACAACAAAATATACTTAAATACATGTAATTGTGTCCTTAAAACATTTAATTGAAATAATGTAGAATTCCATTCATCCCTATGGAGGGCTGCTCCTACTGGGGAGTGCCAATAATATTATGGCTGACCGGTGGCTTCAAAGCTTCTCAGTGGCCAATACATAGCGTTTGTAATCCAGGGTTTATATACATCATTGGTTTTGACTGACAGCCATTCTGAATTTGAGCACCACATGCGAAAATAAGTTGTCCCCATCCCTCCCACTAATTGTGCAATTTTTGCAAATTTTTTGTCTTCTGAGTGGGGGATTTGTTGTTGACCCGTGAGTCCAAATGTGCACTTCACATTTCCATATCAAGGTTTATGATGACTATGTTTGATGTATAGTTAGTTACAAGATTATATGGAGCCATATTATGTTTTTCTCTGAACAGAATTAGCTTTTGTTTGTCTATTGTGAAGGAAATTCACTGCGGAACACGCACCTGAATGCATTCATGACTCATTTCTATGCGCACCATTATAATCTGTTTATGAATTTCTCTGTGAAAGCCTAACACTGTAAAATCGTATTTTATAATTTAGCTAGTCATGTTGGCAATAATCTTGTTTCCCCAGAAGTAAAATTCTCGAAAAATGGTCAATTCCCGTTTATCTGTCCACGATATATTATGTTGACAATAGAACAAGCTTTCAAATGACGCCCAACTGACCCAGATTGCGATTTATAATGGGCCGTTTTTAGATTGCGTAAACAACAACAGTAATTGTGTGGCGGCGGGGATGCAGGGTTGTGTTCGAAACAAAACAAGCCTGCTCTAGTTCCTCAATGGCACAGCTAGAAGAGCTATAAAAAAAAAGCACCTTATAGTTGAAGACTCTTCTTTGAGTCATAAAAGTGCATTGAAATGATTTATGAACTGTGCACATTTTGGAGAGGTGTGTGGCCACTTGGAGACACCAGTTAACCCTCTCACTCAAACCCTTGTCATTTGTTTTGTCTTATGTTGCACCTACCCCTTCATTTTCCATAAATATTCTTATCATGTTACTAAATGTATCCAGAGTATTTTCAGATTTCGTTATCAACAAATGCCGCGGAATGTACAGTAAATGTAAAATTCATATACAATCAACAGTGTAATGTTTAGATTCAGTGTCAGGTGAACCGTTGTGACCTCAATTTTGGTCTAATAATTTTCCCATAATCTCCAAACTGTTCCATTTCAATTGCTACCATGCTTGTGCATATGCTTTTCATATTTATTCTGAAAGGAGGAGGAGAGAGGTAGTGAGACACATTATCCACATGTTGGGGCCTTTATTTAATGGGAGAAGCACTAAATAATTTTTCCAAATGTGTTTGTTGTATTCTGCTCGGTTTATGGGCTGTGCCCCAAATGTTCCTTTATAATGCACTATTTTTAACCAGGGCCGGAAGGCCTAGGGATAGATCAATTTGGGATGCACACTTTTTCTCTCATATTTATAGAGCTCTCCTGACACCTTGATCTCTTTCCTCTCCCCTCTACAGATGGCGGCGACCATTGACATGAATTTCAAAAGAGACCTGATGGCTATCTTTGAGGATAACTTTTTCTAAATTTATGTGTGTGTGTGTGTTTGTGTCAGTGGCGGTTGGTGCCGTTTATGATTTTTTTCATGAGCATGGCCTTATTTCTATTACAGCATATTGGATGACTGTCATTCATATTCCATTCACCCAGATCAATGTAACAGCGATGGGTTTAGGCTACTTACTACATGATACTCACATTTTCCCTATACCCATCATGAGGTTGCTACAACCTAGCCTATGAATGAAAGTTTACAACGTAGGTGCACGCAGGTTGAGAGAAAAATTTGAGGTGACAGACAGTGACACATGGACAGACAGTGACACATTCAATACCGCCTTGCACACTCTTGCCTGCATCTAGCTGATCTAGGGTGTACTCATTAGTCCAACAGTTGCAAACAAGAGTTTCTATTGGATAAATTCAGGTATGTTTATCCCTGTTTCATCCCATTTGCTTCCGTTTAAGAAACGTTTTTCCACTCAATCTGAAGAATGAATACACCCCTGAACACACGTAAACACAGTTCACTTTCATAGCAGCCACATTGTATTCCTTCTCGCATCTATGAACAATCCTCCTCTCACCTTTTCCCTTCACTTGTGGACTTCAATGCACAACACATCAGCTGTATGTGAGCAGGCAAAAAAAACTTTCCAAGCCAAACCATATCATAACCGCTACACACAGCCTACATCGTTGTCACCATATTAGCTAAAGTAATGTCATAGTCAACATAGGTAATATAACTACTAACACGTTAGTAAACCTGCTACAATCATGCAGTAACGTTACAGTGTACAGTCAGTAAGCAGTTTAGCACTTACACCGGCTGGCCCCAGTGGCAATAAATTAGCAAAACCAAAAGCTTACATTGATTTGGAAGAGTTCCAGTGTTGTGTTGGACAGTCATAGCCAGCTAGCTAACATAGCATCTCTCTGTTTGAGCATGGTGTTTGAGTAGGCTAGCTGCAATAGCTAGCTAAGTAAGTGAAACTGAAAGTGAAAAGAATGACAATCTCTCTCTCTCTCTCTCTCTCTCTCTCTCTCTCTCTCTCTCTCTCTCTCTCTCTCTCTCTCTCTCTCTCTCTCTCTCTCTCTCTCTTGCTTCTCTTTCATTTTGGAAGAAATGTATTTGTTAAAAACTGTTCAACTATTGTCTTTCTCTCTCTTTGAGTCAACTACTCACCACATTTTATGCACTGCTGTGCTAACTCGCTGTAGCTTATGCTTTCAGTACTAGATTAATTCTCTGATCATTTGATTGGGTGGGCAAGAGCTCTGATAGGTTGGAGGATGTCTTCCAGAAGTTGTCATAATTACTGTGTAAGTCTATGGAAGGGGGAGAGAACCATGAGCCTCCTAGGTTTTGTGTTGAAGTCAATGTACCCAGAGGAGGACGGAAGCTAGCTATCCTCCAGCTACACCATTGCTCTACCCTACAGAGTGCTGTTGAGGCTACTGTAGACCTTCATTGCAAAACAGTGTATTTTAATCAATTATTTGGTGACGTGAATATATTTAGTATAGTTTTATCTAAAAAGGATAACTTTTTTAATGTTTTAAACATTTGTATTTTTATGAAATTCACTGAGGAGGATGGTCCTCCCCTTCCTCCTATGATGAGCCTCCACTGGTTTGTGTGTACCAATGTGTGTGTGAGTGTGTGTGTGAGTGTGTGTGTGTGTGTGCTTGCGTGCGTGCATGTGTGTGTGTGTGTGTGTGTGTGCCATCCACCCCAACCCCAGAATCTCTTATTTTTCATATTGAGCATATTAGGTAGGTAGAATTCGGGTGGTTAATGCGTGCACTCAGAAATGCAGAATTTTCTGATGATAAAGAATCACAGACTGAGCTGTAATAATATTTCAAACAGAAAGTATTTATTGTCTGAAACTTTGACCTTATTTAGTGTTCAACTGATCATTGTAAAAAGCGGAGGACTCAGAGAGTGAATCAATGATCCATCATAATTGTACAACGTTGAGGAGTCATAAAGTTGATATTGTGTATTATTAGACCATCCACACCCCAGAGTATGAGTAGTAGTGGATGTGTGCTACTTTTTTAATGCCCTCAAGCATTGGAGTGGAGCAATTACACATTTTTGGGAGGTCCACAGCTTCCATGGAAGAAAAATTCAGACACAATGGTGTTTTTAATCAGATTACAGCGTGGAAATTCTTACTATAATTGTTTTAATTATAATTTATCCAATTGATTAATATGTTGACAAATTAGAGAAAATGTAATATCATATGAGATGTGACTGAGTATGTGTGACTGAGATACTGTGTGGGAACTTAAACCACCATAGACTGTGTTTTGGTAGTGCAGATTTGGAGGTTGGACTCCAGGAAGTAGACCTGTCATTCCGATTTCTTGCCGTGTCCTTGTTAGCTAGCTAGAAAGCTAACCAATGTGTACCATTTGGAAAGATGATTTAAATTGTGCCTAAGCGCGAATTTATAAAACATTTGCATTCACCCCTTGTTGGTAATAGCAATAACTAGCTATGTTACGAGTTGGAAGAGCAGTGGCCTGGTAAGTGGGGTAATAATATTTTCAAAAGCTCAACCTTTAGCGCCAGCTGACTAGTTTAGCTAGCTAGCTAACTGTGCTATATCGAGCTAGTTAGCAATGTTGACCACAATACTAGCTAGACAAGTTAAACAATTATACATAAATACAAGTTTTCAAACAGCAATAGTTAATGACAGTGATGTACAACTCCTAATTAAATGACTGGCTAGCTTAGATAGTTGGCTAGAGCCGGTAGCGGCTGATTACGAAAAGGTTGTTATTCCTCTGTTGATGGTCAAGAAGCTGGTTAGCCAGCCATTAGGTAGTTACGTTAGTTGTAAAACAAATGGCAATCACTGACAAGCGGCCCGCTCCTCCATAGTTTTCCAGCTAGCTACCAGTAGCTAACGTTGGATGGGGTGTGTGCTAGCCATCTGCAAAACAAAAGGCTGACATGCTGGTAGCCAGTTAACGTTAGCCAGTTAACGAAGTCAATTACCTAGCTACTGTAGTGTATTTAGCCAGGCAGGTGTTAAGCTAGCTATCATAATTTCCCCCCTTCGCTTTCGTTCAATCAACACTGTCATGCCATTGTTCATCATCATGTTGTAATGTACAGTATAATCAATCTTTCAACTAATCACACCAAACTGATCTGCAGAAGGTACAGTGTTGAACTTACTTGTGGGTCTTAATTCCTGAGCCGTTTTCTCTGTCCTGTCAGCATGGCCTGCAAGAACCTGGTCTCCACCAACATGGGGGTGAGGTTCAGGATGCCCTTGCAGAAGCTGCACCCGCTGTCCCGTGCCATCCACCACCGGTACAACGCCAGTGCCAACCCCCAGCGGCCCCCGCACCGTTCGGCAGCCCGCCACTTCACCTCCATGTCCCGGCTGCCCATGCGGCCTCCCAAGCCTCCCCCGGGTGGCCATGGTGGCTGGCGCCACCAGCAGCACCGCAACTTCTGGATGCTGCGCCTGGCCTCTAGGCTGCTCAAGCTCCGGTACATTGTGCTGGGCTCAGCAGTGGGAGGCGGGTACACCGCTAAAAAGGTACCGCACATTTGAGGTGGAGGAGAGAGGGTTGAACGTTAAGAGCCAGTTTCCCAGACACAGATTTTCCATTGAAAGTGCTTTGTAGTCCAGGACTAGGCTTAATCTGTGGCTGGATTACACCTGCTTGACGCCTGCTTGACTGCCTGCGGGAAATGAGAGCAGCTTGTTCTAAGCCAATCGTTGCAGCAGGCTCAACCGATAACCTGCCCGTTTCTTTACAGACAGAACTAGCAAATAGCGCTTCACACTGTTTCAGTGAAAGAGAGATGGGTGCTGGCAGCTGAAAATAAATGTATTCCGATCACAGTTAATTACAAAAAACTGTGTAACCGATGGTTATGGATGAAGACTGTCATGAAAATAAAAGAATCGTTAAAAATTATTTATTTTTTGTGGAACGAACAGATGCTTGAAGATGGGACGGCTGGGTATTCGTGCGGTTGAGTCCGTTTCTGCCGTAACATGGACTCTTAACAACGTGATGAAACTTCCTGCTTTGCTCCTATGCGTAAACTCGCAATGGCCGCCAGTCCACCCATTATGTCATAATTGGCTTGAATGGGGATGCCCGTTGTATTCATTGTATTTCAATGGCAGGACATGCATTGTTTTGCTATTCTAATAGTTACGGTGACCGCGGTCATTTGGTTGGCCAATTACCGTCATCCACAATTCCATGACCGTCACAGCCATAGTTAAATTATAGTCGTGGTATAAGCTGGATAATCAACTCTGGGCTCTATGCATTCTCTGGAAAATAATGCAATTCCGTGGATGGTTAGTGCCACTCTGCAAGAGTGCATAGCCCCTTGTTGATTATCCCTTACTTATTGTCTCCTAGCCCATCCCTTGAAGTATTGTTCTTGTTAGTCTTTAACTGAGGTATTTTTCTGGCCCATTATCACATCTAGAATTGTAAGTTAACCATATGATTGCATGCCACTTATGTTCTGTTCTTCCAGACCTATGAGGAGTGGAAGGATATGCTGCCTGATATGAGTGCATACAATTGGGTAATACCTGATTTTGTCTGGGAGCTGAGTGATCAAATTGACCTAGGTAGGTGTGTCCCCTTTTTGCTATGAAATGCCTCATTAGAAGTCTGTGAACTTGAAACTCTGATCAAGATTTACCGCTGTTAAATACCTTGTCATGTTTGTTTATTCCCTGTCAATCAATGCAGTGTGTGGTTAATCAGATGTGAATTGTATATATAATTTTTTTATCAGACTGAGCCATTGCTATCTTTCTCTTAAAGCTGGAATCCTTAATGGTGAAACTGCCACGTCCGTTTTGCGATAATCCAACAACTAAGTTGCTGCAATAATGAACATTGTCCCCCCAACCCCCCCCCCCCCCCCCCCCCCCCCCCCCCCCCCCCCCCCCCCCCCCACACATCATTGCATGAGCGATAGAACAGCAGCATATGTACTGGAATTTCAATGCACAACGCTCCCCAGCTCTGCTTTGTCAACAAAACAATATCAATGGCCGTGGGGCAGACAGTGGCAATGTTTCCCCTACTGCGGATTCCATCTTTCAGGCTGCTTAGTTAGTTTGGTTAATTTGAGTCTCGTGCAAGGAGCGCAACATTTGTTCAAATGGTAAACTCCACTAACCGTATCTCACTTTTCTACACAGATAAACTAACCAAAATTCTGCCTGAGTTAGAGGAGATTGCCAAGCTGCTACCCGAATTACCTGACTTTGATAAGATAGGAGAGAACTTCAACTTCCTCAAGAGCATCCTCTCCACCGGTGAGTACACAATCTTGTCAGATAAAAATAGATGGGCATACTGAAGCATAACATGGCAATGTCGGACAAAGCAGTTAATCAACTCTTTTTGGCCAGGATAATTTATTTTTTATACATCTTAGGTGAAGTGGCAAAAGTGCTAAACGTTTTGAGCTTTATGAATCCACAATAGCTATAGCACCTGCTCCAAGTGGTAGAAAATTACAGTTCACGTCATTGGTAATCTGAACTTGAAGTGGGCTTCTTTTGTCAATCCTTATCTAATCACACCTGCATTACCTACTGTAGCAATCTAATCACACCTGCATCACCTACTGTAGTAATCTACTTTCCAGCAAGAAAAGGGTTACATTTTTTATTTTAGCTAACAACCACTTTTCACTTTCCAGCCTCCTACATGGGCTTTTGCATCATTGATGTTCTTGTAAATTGTATCTAAAACCACAATTGGGCTGCTTTGTGTTGAAATAGTGCGGCTTCCAATGTTTTGGCTGAGTTGTGTGAGCTAGAGTTCCATTGGCGCTAGTGTCCTCAATATGCTGCATGCAGGAAGTCCAGAGGAAGTGAGGAGAGAGGTGACCTAGGGTGTATTCACTAGGAAGCAAATGGGCTGAAATGGGGAGGGACCTACCTGAATTTGTCCAATAAGAAACTATTGTCTTCGTTGCTAAATGTTTTCCCTTGAAAAACATTTTGCTACTGTGTGCACTAATGAATACACCTCAAGAGATCTATGGCGCAATTTCCACCCACCTTTATGATTGACATTTTTCAAAGGATACTATAATTATGTACTGACAGTGGACGTTTTATAGGCAAAGTCAGAGAATTAGGAATTAGAATACTAGAATGGACATTAACCTTCTTATGATGGGATCAAGCTCAGCCATTTTGGTAAGGGAGTTGGTCATCCATGGTTTGCCAGTGCTGTGATAAGATATTGTGTAAAATAATGCATTTTCTATTTATCTGCACTGTATGTTTGTTAGCTAGCTAGCCAGGCAGTTTTAGAGGAATGATTCCAGAAATGTTTCAAATGAACTGCCAATATGCCAACATTCCATTCAAACAATGCAGTCAGTCCACAGCCATACACTGGCTGGAATCAGTTGATGATAGGACTTAGATAAGTTGTAAATGCAACATATAATATGGAGACATTTATGGTCTGTTTACATATATTTTAGAGGCTATTTATGCAACAAATTTGTATAAAACCCATATAGATTGTATTTATAATTAATTATATGACAATATTTTAGGTCGACAATAATTGTATTACGCAATTTTTGATATCACATGCCTTTTATTGTCCTGCAAAAGTAAAAGCAGGATTTGGCCTCTCCTGCCATTCATTCCAATTATTAGACTAGTTTGAATTTCTCCCTGACCAATATGGCTGCCATTTTCACCCCATTCTGGAACTTTTAGGGTTTATGACATTGCCCCTCTAGTAATTTAATAGGATCGCTATGGGCTAAGTATAATTTCCAAAGTAACTAGGTCTAATTTGGGTCAATATTAGTAATTTGACAATGTTACTTTTGTATGCATGTGATGAGCATAAGTGAACGGTCCCAATCCATTGATTTCCCACAGTCAAATTAGGCCAATCGATTAATTATCCTGCATTATGAGTAGTGTCACAATTACGTGCCCAGATTGCACAAGTAGTCAATGATAAACCCTCTGGACTTGCAGGATGCAGCCACAACAACAAGCTCACAGTCTGTCAGCAGGGCCTTGACACATGTCTAGCAGTGACCCTGCTCTGACCCCTTTTGCTTCATTCTTTTGATTTTTGTATTTTTCCTTTCTCCTCCCCCCCCCTCCCCCTCCGCAATCTTCACAGGTGTGAGTGTGGGTAGTGAAGGAACTTCTGGTCTGCATCTGTTGTTAGGTGTGTACACCCCACACTCAGCCCCCCCCACTCTCCGCCCTGGCGCAGTTTGAATACCCAACATTGGTGTGTGTGCAGCAGCACCCATGCAGACGTGGTTAACAGTGGTTTGGAGCCAAAGACGATGTCAAGTGTTCCTGGATTGGCACCTCCTAACTCAACACGATTGGCTTCCAGACTACCAACTGATTGTCATTGTCCAATAGAGCCTCACAGTGGAGGTGTCATTATACCCATAAAACCTAGCGGTCAAACAGGGAAATGGTTCCAATTGTTTTTACACCATTCATTTTTCCCATAGGGGATTTAAAAACACTTAAAAATAAGGGCTGTGTTTCATGTAGGCTTACCCTGGCGTGATGTTTTGATAACCATGTAAATCTCTCTCGGACAAGGTGACTTTTATTAATATATTTGAAAATGCTAATTAGCATAAAAGTAGACGACATGCAAGGCTACAAATCCCTGCTAGCTCCTGCACATCATCTCTAGCTGAAACCTTTGCTAAACAGGTATTGTGTCAATTTAAAACCTCCACAGAATTGTCAATAAAACATTTTTTTATCCAATTTATTCATTACTACATTTAGCTAACATTTGATAGTTAATCCAGAGATTCTTACCTTTGCCTCGATTCGGCAATCTCGTCCAGATCACCATGGTATTTGTAGGTCTTTATGATAGCCACATTAGAAGCTAATAAGCGTTTCTTTTTTTGCGGGTAAATACAAGTGAATATATTGATAAAAGTCACCTTGTCCTAGAGAGATTTACACGGTTATCAAAACGTCACACCAGGGTAAGCCTACAAGAAACAACCCTTATTTTAAGTGTTTCTAAAATCCCCAATGGGAAAAATTAAAGGTGGAAAAACATTTGGAACCATTTCCCTGTTTGACTGCTAGGTTTTATGGGTATTATGACTCATACTGTGCTACACTATGCTGCTGTTTGAGACACCAATGACAAATTAATAATGGAAGGATTTGTCTTTTGGGTGGCAATAGTACCAGAGTGTGCTTTGATTGACACAAAGGCTTTAATTGATGCAGAGGATTTATCCTTGTCATACTGATATCAAAAGGGTGCAGAGATGGGCATTTTGTTTACTGTCTCATTATGTAATTGAATTCCTCTAAAAACAAAATTGACCACTGAATTGGACATACTTCGATTGGATTGAATTTAATTGGATGTGATAATGACAATCTTTATCCTTCTGGTCTACAGTGCTCTTAACAACAGATACAGTGTGTTTTTTTGCATTATCTACTCTTCTCCCATGTCGTGTAGTTTAATCTGACTGTGCCTTTTGTCTGTCCTGCTTGTGTGTTTCTGTATTTTTTTAACTTTCAAGTTCCTCCTCCTCTCTCCCTGGCTTCCCTGGGCTCTCCCCACCTGTACTTACATAATGGGATCCCTAATCCTTGGCTTAGAGGGCTCTCCTTGTCTACTGGTAGCTGATGCTTCTCAAATGTTTGGAAAAAACATTGTCTTTGGATTGTGGAAACACCTCGAACCCCATCCATCCCTCTTCTTTGACTTGCTAAAACAATAGGTTTATTCCTAGCGATGTCCCAAGTGGTACCCTATTTCCTATGTAGTGCACTACTTTTGACATGGGCCCATAGGGCTCTGGTCAAAAGTAGGGCACTATATAGGGAATAGGGTTCCATTTGGGACGGCTTGTTATTGACAGGTCTTTCATTGGCTGGATGAGAGATTGTTGTTCCATCACGCTCTCAAGGGCAGTATTTAAGCAATAAGGCCCGAGGGGTTGTGGTTTATGGCCAATACACCACGGCTAAGTGCTGTTCTAAAGCACGACACAACGTGGAGTGCCTGGATACAGCCCTTAGCCGTGGTATATTTGCAATGTACCACAAACACCCAAGGTGCCTTATTGCTATTATAAACTGGTTACCAAAGTAATTAGAGCAGTACAATAAATGTTTTGTCATACCCATGGTATACGGTCTGATATACCACGGCTTTCAGCCAATCAGCATTCAGGGATCAAACCACCCAGTTTATAAATAAATATATTCACTGATTTTTTGCTATGGCTCCAGCTGGCTCTGTGTAGCACATACCAATACTTAACTAACGCCATGCTGGCCTATAAAGCCTGCTACTGTACATAGGCCAATGAAGGACAGTGTTGTAGAGTAGAGCAACAAGCCTTTCATTACTGCTGTATAAGCTTTGCCAATTTGACGGCAATTAATTCATGAATTCATTACGTCATTATTTCATCGTACCATATCAGATATAACTGATCGGAGATCCACTGAGAAGCACAAATTCTACTGCGAGCAATATTCTCCAAACATTTGAGATTCTGTCACGTGGGACCGGGTGCTGCTTCTGATCTGGGGCATAGATTGATGAAGGCCTCTCTAATGTTGGGCATGCCAATACTTTTGACTCATTATTGCTTATTGCTAATAAACTATTAAAGATAATGTATTATCATGTATGGGTAACCTTATGTTTGTCAAGTGTTATAATTGACTGTTTTTGTTGTTGTGTCTCCTAGCAGAAGCCCCTGGGGATACTCCAGTGAAAGCAGCCACAGAGGTCCCGGTCACCGCCACACCAGAGGCCAGCGAAAAACAGTTCAAGAAGGCAAGTCTGCTCTGCACCGCCTTACTAGCTCAGCCTCCCTCCCTGTGACATAGCTGGGTCTCATTGTAGAAAGAAACTGCAGCTTGTTGGAGTTCGCAGTTTGGGTCAATTCCATTTCAGCTCCAGGCTATTTGGGAAATTAAGTGAGATTCAGTTCTTGAGTTGAAAACTACTAGAGGTAAAGGGCAGTATTCAGGTTATTAACTGAATTTCAGTTAATGTTTACTGGGCTGAGAATGGACTTGACCCCTATTATAGCTGCCTGTTTATGGATAAGTGGTTTTTCATAAATGTTGTTGACCATGAAAATAGCAGAGATTTGTACTCTTTACGACAGGTTCGTATACCAGCTATTATTTTGTCTCATGTACAATAATATATTTTTCTTGCTAGGGAATGCAGGTATGTTTTTTGTTACCATTTGTGACATGGAGGTGATCGTTCAGTCCTCAATCTTACAGAGTAATTACATCATCATGGCTAGAAAACCATATAGGCTATACTTACTTATGCTGATATTTGCCCTTGCTTTTCCCCCCCTCATGCTCCTCAATGTGTGTTGTTTTTCCGGAAGTCTCATGCTGCATTCAGGAGATAATACTCTTTAGCTTCTGAACAGCGCTTTTGTATCTACCTCTGTTCCATTCCCATTGTCTTCTCATACTGTCCATTTTGTATTGTTCCTCTGCTCTCAAGGGCTCTTCCACTGTTGTCCTCACGTTCAATGGAATAGTCCTGCTACACTGTTCAACCCTAGTGACTTTCATATGTTAAAAATAGGGAACTATTGTAGAACAATAGCCTAAATATTAGACAATCTATGGCATCCATATCCTCTACCTGGCTTTTAGTCTAAAGCAGTGGTCCCCAATGTGATTTAAAAAATATATACATTATCATAGACCAACTTGGGGACCATTGGGCTGAGGCTTAGCTCATCTTCCACAGGCCTGCAGCAAGCTTTCTGCTCCATCCTTGACAGATCGCTCCATCCTTGACAGATCACTCATTCCAAGCTAGGGTTGCAAAATTTCCCAGGTTTTCCAGAAATCCTGGTGAGAGGATTCACAGATTTCCTGCTTATTCCCTCCTGATTCCATCAATCTTCCAAATGGGATTTCTGGAAAACCTGAGAATTTTGCAAACCTACTCCCAGTGCAGCTTGCTTCGCTAATCATCAGGTTGATTTTGAGCAAATAATATCATTTTATGATTCGGACCAAAATCCCCTCTTTTTTTGTGTTGAATATCAGGAACACTTTAAATAGTTTATCCACTTTCAATAATGTATCCAGTAAATCTACACATTGACATTTTTTCTTCTTCAAGACCTCAATCCATCATAATCTTGAGTGTTCATGTGTCATATTTACATTGCCTCGTAGAGCATGATCATTCTTTAAGTTGCAGGGTATCAGTTGTGTTTTAGTATGACTATAAAAGGCATAGTGATGGAAGACTGCTAAGAAACCATTACTGTACAGAATCCTTTCCCATGTGCCACTGGCTGAGAGACACTGGTTGTGGTATCAGTTGCCTCGTCCGCTTTCAGATCTCCGGACTGGCAAAGTCTGTTCTGGAGTCTCAGTTTGTGACAGAGAAAGACTGACTTTGTTGAGTACCAATGATGGTGGCAAGATCTAGGAGCTAGACGTTGATTCAGTTTACCCACAAGCTTTGACAGAATGGTGACCGTCGAGATGATGATGATGATGATGATGATGATGATGATGATGGGCATAGGCTGGGCATAGATCAACATGGGGTCAGCCCTGGCCCCAGCTCCAGTTGGTTGGTCAGTGGGTTGCTGGACTGACAGGTACAGTAGGTTGTGTTGACGGCTGTGTTGCTCCTGCCTCTCTCACTGTGACGTCCCTCAGGGTCTGCTCGGCGAGCTCATTCTCATTCAGCAGCAGATCCAGCAGGCCGAGGAGGAGGTCCGGCGGGCTGCCGCAGCCAAAAACGCACGGCCAAGCCCAGAGCCTGCCCCCAGCCCACCCCCACGCCCGCCTCTACCGCCGCCTCCGAGCCCGCCCCCGCGCCAGATACCCGAGCCAATGCCAACCACCGCCCCGAACCCCAGCCCCAGCCCCCCTCAGCAGAAACGCAAGGTGAAGGTCCTACCCCCCACCTCCCGCCACCACCAAGCCCTCATCTGTAGAAGCCCCCTTCAGAACGTAAACAGTAGAACTTCCCCCAAACCCACCCACCCTCCTCAGGAAGGACAAACCCCTTTGCCGTTTAAATTCACACTAACAGAGATTTGCTGAGTAATTTTATAAGGAATACTGCTTAAATTTTTTTATTTCACCTTTATTTAACCAGGTAAGCCAGTTGAGAACAAGTTCTCATTTACAACTGCGACCTGGCCAAGATAAAGCAAAGCAGTGCGATAACAACAACAACACAGAGTTACATATGGGGTAAAACAAAGTAAAAAAAAATACAACATAAATATATATATATACAGTGTGTGCAAATGTAGCAAGTTATGGAGGTAAGGCAATAGATAGGCCATAGTGCAAAATAATTACAATTAGTATTAACACTGGAATGATTGATGTGCAAATAGAGATACTGGGGTGCAAATGAGCAAAATAAATAACAATATGGGGATGAGGTAGTTGGGTGGGCTAATTTCAGATGGGCTGTGTACAGGTGCAGTGATCGGTAAGGTGCTCTGACAACTGATGCTTAAAGTTAGTGAGGGAGATAAGTGTCTCCAGCTTCAGAGATTTTTGCAGTTCGTTCCAGTCATTGGCAGCAGAGAACTGGAAGGAATGGTGGCCAAAGGAGGTGTTGGCTTTGGGGATGACCAGTGAGATATACCTGCTGGAACGCATACTATGGGTGGGTGTTGCTATGGTGACCAATGAGCTAAGATAAGGCGGGGATTTGCGTAGCAGTGATTTATAGATGGCCTGGAGCCAGTGGGTTTGGCGACGAATATGTAGTGAGGACCAGCCAACAAGAGCGTACAGGTCACAGTGGTGGGTAGTATATGGGGCTTTGGTGACAAAACGGATGGCACTGTGATAGACTACATCCAATTTGCTGAGTAGAGTGTTGGAGGCTATTTTGTAAATGACATCGCCGAAGTCAAGGATCGGTAGGATAGTCAGTTTTACGAGAGCATGTTTGGCAGCATGAGTGAAGGAGGCTTTGTTGCGAAATAGGAAGCCGATTCTAGATTTAACTTTGGATTGGAGATGCTTAATGTGAGTCTGGAAGGAGAGTTTACAGTCTAACCAGACACCTAGGTATTTGTAGTTGTCCACATACTCTAGGTCAGACCTGTCGAGAGTAGTGATTCTAGTCGGGTGGGCGGGTGCCAGCAGCGTTCGATTGAAGAGCATGCATTTAGTTTGGTGGATTGGTGGATGATATTCCTATGGTCCTATGCTGTTTGGATTTGTCTCATTGAGCAAGCCTAGAGCTCCTTCCTAGCTCACTATCCTATGTAAAGTGGACAAGGCACTGTAGTGTACTTTATTGACTCTAGTCATTGTTGATTTATACCGCAGTCTTTTTATAGGCTGTATGCTACAAGCAACAAATTGTATTGTGCAGTGTTACTTTCCGATCTCTGAATATAATGCAATGATAATTGGCAAATATTTCATTAACAACATTTTTATCACTTTGCACATTTCTGGTCAGTTTAATTCATTCTGGTCTAGCTGCTTTTGTCTTACTAAGTTTGCATATGCTAGTTAGCCTACATATGCTGCATTACAGTTGCACACATTGCTTTATTCAACCCACCCAAACATAGTACCCTGTCATCCCCCTCAAACTTCCCATTAGTGTGAACGAGACATTGGAAAACATCATCCATCCACATGGTGTCCCTCAGGGCAGTGTGTTGTGCCACTGGTGGAATGGCATGTCTGATGCCTGGAAATCTCAGAATCACCTGTCGCCAGTTTAGTACCGCAGTAACATAGCCTAGGCTCCCTCTCTCATGCGAACTGCTGGACTACGGCCAACGCTCCTCCCGTAACACTCCACTAACGTACAGACAACCTACACTGCATGGAGTGGAGGGACACCCCGCTGCATGGTGTTCTGTGCACTTCAAGAATGAACCTAAATGTCAGTTATACAGTGAAATCTATCTAATTGGGTATAGGCCTATGTCAGGACTATATCAGGATATAGGAATCAATACTAGATCTTTCTTCTTAGTCCACTAATCAGATTAACTGCTGTAGGCTATTATCACGACATTGCAATTTGCACGTAGTTAGCACAATCATCTTTGCTACAACCCCTGTCAGTGTGTGTACTGTACATGTTTGTGTGTTAGTGTGTGTGTGTGTGTGTTTAATCTGTTGTCCCTTGTTGCTGTCCCTATCCATCCGCTCACTGGTGCTCTGTCTCCCTCTCTCTGTGCTTTGTGATCTCCCCCTGTAAAAAATGCATTGCAGGAGTGGAACTGTTAATCATGCTGTAATGATCTCTTGATTGATGATTGCTGTAATTCAAATCTTTTCCAGGGCCTGATTTGACTTGTGCCTGTGATTTTGCACTGTGATTTACTGTATTACATATTAAGACCAAACAAATGACTACAACCTGGAATTGAATCAGTTTTCCCCCTTTTTTCTATAAACTTGACTTTCGTTCACTGTGGTGCCCACTGGTCTGTGTAATGTAACGTGCACGTTAGATGTATGTGATGTGGGTTTAGAGTGGCTCACAGAGGGTGATGGGTTAAAAATGTCCCAGATGTGAGAGAGAGAGGGTTAATAAACCTGCTCTGTGACTGCTCTCTGTCTCCAGTCTTCAGACAAGGAGAAGGTGGACCAGCTTCAAGAGGAACTGCTCCGAACTCAGGTAGAGCACAATATGGTCCATATCCTTCCTTGTTCAATAGACCCCAAGTTTTATACCACATAGTAAAAATCCTGTTTACTGGTTGCAAAATAGCTGGGAAGATATTTTCGATAACGATTCCATGGCACATTGTGTATGAACTGATACACAAAACAACCCTTGATTCAACACTTTTTCAGTTTAAATTATTATACAAAATTCTTGCCATCAACAGAATGTTATATACACTCACCGGCCAGTTTATTAGGTACACCACCCCGTTCACAAAAATGGAGTCACATGGCCATGGCTTGCCATACAAAGCTGCCAGATAGGCATCGAGGCGTTCAGTTACTGTTCGATTGAACGTTAGAATGGGCAAAACAAGTGACCTAAGCAACTTTTAGTGTTGTATGATTGTCGGTGCCAGGCGCGCCGGATTCAGTATTTCAGAAACCGACGCCCTCGTGGGCTTTTCACGCACGACAGTGTCTAGGGTTTACTGAGAATGGTGCGACAAACAAACATCCAGTCAGCGGCAATCCTTTGGGCGAAAGCAGCTTGTTAATGAGAGAGGTCGAAGGAGAATGGCAAGAATCATGCAAGCTAACAGGTGGGCCACAAACAGACAAATAACGGTGCAGTACAACAGTGGTGTGCAGAATGGCATCTCGGAACACACAACTCGTCGATCCTTGTCACGGATGGGTTATTGCAGCAGATGACCACACCGGGTTCCACTCCTATCAGCTAAAAACAAGAAGAACCGGCTCCAGTGGGCACATGATCACCAACACTGGACAATTGAGGAGTGGAAAAACATCGCCTGGAACATGACGGCGAGTTCAGTTTACTTGAGTGGTCTGCGCAGTCCCTAGACCTCAACCCAATAGGGCATCTTTGGGATGAGATGGAACGGGCTGTTCGCCGCATGAATGTACCGCCGTCCAACTGCAGCAACTGCGTGATGCCATCGCATCAGCATGGACCAACATCCCTGTGGAATGTTTCCGACACATTGTAGAATTCCCCGAATAATTCAGGCTGTTCTGGAGGCAAACATTATCCCTACAAATAGCGGTGTTAGGCGATTTTGGAAAGCCATAGTAAAACATAGTTAGTTTTGTCGTCTGAAGAGCAGGGTGGATGGGCCAATTAAAATAAATAATTCCAGTTTACTTTGGTAAATGGACTGAATGGTCCATATCTTTCCTTAAATAGGCTCCACTTGTAAGGTACCACATTGACGTTGTAATGTCAGGTTTACAAAAATCCAGTTTACTTTGATAAATGGACTGAGTGAAAGAGGATTTGTTTTTAAAGCTGGAATTTCTTTCTCTCTTTTACATAGATGAAGTACCAGCGCATGCTGGAGAGACTGGAGAAAGAGAACAAGGAGCTGAGGAAAGTGGTGCTGCAGAAAGACGAGAAGGGCATCCACCAGAGGAAGATCAAGGTGTGTGTGAGTCACGCACACCACACACACACAGTCATGCACACACACACACCAGTGTTCTGCATGGTAGTAAAAGTTAATCAATGAGTTTGTTTCAAAACATTGTCTCCTGAAGAAATCGACTCATTCTCCCATCAGGCGTTGCTCTAAGTATTTTTCCATCTGTATTCCTTCTACAGAAGTCTCTGATTGACATGTACTCTGAGGTCCTGGACATCCTCTCAGATTTCGACTCCAACTACAACACCCAGGACCACCTACCCAGGGTAAGGATAACCCAAAGGGTCATGGCTGTCTGGAAATGCAGTCAAAATAGGGAGACATAATTTTTTATGTACATGCAAACCTTTTCTTTAGTAGATACCAGAAATATTAGGGCCATACTTGCCAACAGAAGTAACCATTTAAATTTAAACAGTTTCCTTCGGCTCAAAATGTGTATCAGCCAATTAAAATCATAGATTTATGACAGAACGCTAAATTGGAGCTGGTCCCATTAGATAAGATGGCACACATTAGCCCTATGCTAACCTCACCAGGTGGTGGTGATTATATCCTGGAACAAATTCTTCATCAGCCTATCAAAGATCGTAGACTTTATATCCACCAACCAATGGCATTTCTTAAAATAGGTCAACCCTGACCACTGAAGGATATTTTAAAACTACAAATTCAAGGTTTACTTTTGTTCCTTGGTCTGTAACAAAATGTTGTGTCAATATTGCATTTAAATTTTATTACGATTCCCGTTAGCTGACGACATAACGTCAGCTAATCTTCCTAGGGTCCAACACAGAACTAAAAATACATTACAAGCAATTACAATTAACATTAAGACATTACAAACATTTAAAGGAACATTTCACCCAAAAACTATCTTTTGGTATTTGTTTCATTAGTCCATTGTTGAAATAGTCCCAAAATGTTTTGCTGTCAGCAATCAAGTTTTCAAGATATGTAACTTTCAAAATACAGAAATCATCCCCGTACAGAGATGATTTCTGGATTTTGAAAGTATTTGATGGCCTGAATTTGCCTGTCTGGTTTGGTGGTTAGGACCCAGAGAAACTGTTTAAATTTAAATGGTTGCTTATGTTCGCAAGTATGGCCCTATTATTTCCTCTTGTAAAGGCATTGCTATGAGATGGTAGGTCTCTACTATCTATCACACCCATTTCATCTTCCTCCTTCCCTCCCTCCTTTGTGCTATACTATAGGTGGTGGTGGTGGGAGACCAGAGTGCAGGGAAGACCAGTGTGTTGGAGATGATCGCCCAGGCTAGGATCTTCCCCCGGGGCTCTGGAGAAATGATGACCCGCTCTCCTGTCAAGGTAGAGGAACTCATTTACTAGACTACCTTAACCCCCTCAAGACCCCTACCTTCCTATACTGTAGCTGTAAAGATATCAAAGATATATATAGGAGCCAACTTTTACTTGACACAGTAGTGTTGATTTATGTTCTTATTTTAAAGGGGCAATCTGGGATTTGTTACATCCATTTTGGACTTGATGTATAGCCATTGAGTCTTGAAGAATATAACTTATTAAGTGGCGGGGTGACCGCTTTGTTGTTTGAATCCCAGATTGCCTCTTTTTAAGGCAACATGTCCAAACCTTTCCTACTGCTGTGGCTACACCTTGATGGATCTCCTCTTAGGCTCTGTAGGTCTACACGGTTCCATATGGGACGTTCTAGTCCTCAGTTTGAGTGGTTGAATGAGGCCTGTGTGGTCTGGATGGATGGGCAGCATTACCAGACTAGTGTTGTGGTTTTGGCCTGGGGACTTTGAAAGTGGTCAATTACATGTTGCCGCCTGCTGTTCTCTCCCCCTCCACTAGGTGACGCTAAGCGAGGGTCCGCACCACGTAGCCATTTTCAAGGACAGCAGCCGAGAGTTCGACCTGGGCAAAGAGGAGGACGTACGTTTTATACAGCATAGATATGTGTGGAAGGGATGACTGGATCTGCCTCTTTCAATCTGTCGCATTCTCTATATCTTTTTCTCTCCTTCTACCATCATGTCCATTCACTTGTTTATTTATTCATTCATTCATTAATCCTTTCATTCTTTCGTCCCTGAAGCTGGCTGCCCTGAGACATGAGATCGAGCTGAGGATGAGGAAGAGTGTCAAGGAGGGACAGACAGTCAGCCCTGAGGTGAGAACAGAACCTCCATAGCTTTCAGCTTGCAAATGTGTACTTCAGTTTGTGCCTAATGTCTGACCTAAATGTCTCTGACTAAATGTTTGTTTATTTCCGTATGACAGACGATCTCTCTGAGTGTCAAAGGACCAGGCATCCAGAGGATGGTACTAGTGGACCTACCAGGAGTCATTAGTGTGAGTGTATATTCACACACACACCCACACACACACAGAGGCGTGTACAGAAACACACTCACACACGCTTGTGTATGAAAACTGTGACCATACAGTGGTAGGTGCAGTGATTCTAAGGTGATGTGATTCTGTGTATTCCTCTCAGACTGTGACAGCAGGCATGGCAGCCGACACCAAGGAGACCATCTTCAGCATCAGCAAGAACTACATGCAGAACCCCAATGCCATCATCCTCTGCATCCAGGGTGAGTCAACACTGGAGTCACCTCATGATCAAATATGAACAGATCATCCTTGAGCTCCTTTCCTTCTCTTCATCCTCACCTCCCCTTTGCTCCTCTGTTCCCTTCTCTTCTGTCTCAGCTCTCCTTTCTACTGCCGCCTCCTCCTCTCTTCCTTTACCTCACATGCTCTTCCCTAACCCTCCATCTCTCTTTCTCGTCCTCAGATGGGTCAGTGGATGCAGAGCGCAGCATCGTCACAGACCTGGTCAGTCAGATGGACCCGCAGGGGAAGAGGACCATCTTTGTCCTGACCAAAGTAGACCTGGCAGAGAAGAACCTGGCCAGCCCTAACCGGGTGAGATTTGCGCACACACACACGTTCAAAACGTTTGATTTGAAACTTTTGCAACGTGAAGCAGAAATGACAGTTGGACAAGTCCAGGTAGTCCCGAAACAGAGGGTCAATGAGCATGGACGAAATGCATTTGACAAGTTCAAATGGTCTGAAAACAATTATAATCCTCTTTAGCCAAAAGGGGGCGCCCTTTCATTAGTTTTAAAAGCTGGATGTACACTAAAATAGTCACGAGGTACAGACTGGAAGAAATCCAATGACACATGATTGCAATTTGCCCTCTCATCTTGGATTTTATGTATTTCTCTCCCTACAGATTCAACAGATTGTTGAAGGAAAACTGTTCCCTATGAAGGCCTTGGGCTACTTTGCTGTGGTGACGGGGAAAGGTAAGCTGCATTACAATTAGGGTTGCAAAATTCCAGTAACATGCCACCAGGATTTCAGCGAATTTTGGGAAAGTTACTGGGATTTTGCCACCCTCATTACAATAATGTAAAGTAGTTGAATCTGTCCAGAGTTAGTCAGGTCTTTAATCACTGACATGTGAATCTATTGTCCCCTCTTCCCTAGGCAGTGCCGGTGAAAGCATTGACTCCATCAAAGACTACGAAGAGGACTTCTTCCAGAACTCTAGACTTCTTAGGTGGGTGTCCTGACTCCCTATCATTGCACATTCGGTTTAGAAAATGAATTTCCAGTAAATTCATTAATTTGGTGAAAGGCCATGGTTTTCAATGATCATTTTTTAAATCCAGCTGAAATGGAACTGACCTGTAACACGTTATCCTTACCTGTGTCCCCCTCTCCTTCAAAGAGATGGCATGCTGAAAGCCCATCAGGTGACCACTAAGAACCTCAGTCTGGCCGTGTCCGACTGCTTCTGGAAGATGGTCAGGGAGTCAGTGGAGCAGCAGGCCGACGCCTTCAAAGGTAACCAGGCGGGTTAGGAGCCCAAAATACACCTCAATATGAGGCTGGGTCACCAAAGGCTTAAATGGCCTTCTTCCTTTACTTCCTGATAGGCCATCTAGGCATCTACCTCCTAGCCTACATGTGTCAAACTCATTCCACGGAGGGCCGAATGTCTGCTGTTTTTCACTCCTCCCTTGTACTTGATTGATTAATTAACCCTTATAGGGTCACTTTTCCCCTTAATCATATCACAATCAACTTTTACCAGTTGAATGTACACAGAAATATAATACTTTTTTTTTTATTACAATCTTTCAGAAATATTTTATTGACATATGCAAAGGAGGCAACATCTCATTATGTTTTTCTGGACATTGGATGAAGTCAGCATAAATATTTCAGTTCCATTTTGTTAAGACACTCCAGGACCGGACTTGTCCAGAGCAGGTTGTGGATGAATATTTTTTAATCTGTAAAATACGTATCTAGATTTAAAAAATTTGATTAAACAGTAATCGTGTTTTAATATGATTTCTGAATGACTACCTCCTCTCTGTACCCCACACATACAATTATCTGTATGGTCCCTCAGTTGAGCAGTGAATTTCTAATTCTGATTCAACCACAAAAACCAGGAAGGTTTTCCAATGCCTCGCAAATAAGGGCACCTATTGGTAGATGAAAAAAAAAACAAAAAAACATTGAATATCCCTTTGAGCATGGTGAAGTTATTAATTACACTTCGGATGGTGTATCAATACACCCAGTCACTACAAAGATACAGGCGTCCTTCCTAAATCAGTTGCCAGAGAGGAAGGAAACCACTCAGGGATTTCACCATGAGGCCAATTGTGACTTAAAAACAGTTAGAGTTTAATGGCTGTGATAGGAGAAAACTGAGGATGGATCAACAACATTGTAGTTACTCCACAATACTGACCTAAATGACAGAGTGAAAAGAAGGAAGCCTGTACAGAATAAAAATATTCCAAAACATGCATCCTGTTTTCAATAAAGCACTAAAGAAAAACTGCAAAAATATGTCAAAGAAATGTACTATATGTCCTGAATACAAAGTGTTATGTTTGGGGTAAATCCAACACAACACATCACTGAGTACCACTCTCCATATTTTCAAGCATGGTGGTGGCTGCAGCATGTTATGGGTATGCTTGTCATCGGCAAGGACTAAGGAGTTTTTTAGGATAAAAAGAAACGGACTAGAGCTAAGCACAGGCAAAATCCTAGAGGAAAACCTGGTTTCCAACAGACACTGGGAGACATTCACCTGTCAGCAGGACAATAACCTAAAGTACACACTGGAGTTGTCTTACCAAGACGACATTGAATGTTCCTGAGTGGCCTAGTTACAGTTTTGACTTAAATCAGCTTGATAATCTATGGCAAGATTTGAAAATTGCTGTCTAGCAATGATCAACAACCAACTTGACAGAGCTTGACATTTAAAAAAAAGAATAATGTGCAAAAATTATACAATCCAGGTGTGCAAAGCTTTTAATGACTAACTGTATGTCCAAAGTGGTTAAAATGAATTGCAATGTTGATGACGGTAGTATGATAAACTAAATAAAATATACATTTTCATGATGTTTTGTTTACATTTTGTTAACTTTTTGAAAACACTAATTAATGGACCAAAATACAAAAAAATCTCAATTGATAGGTAGTTGCAAAAATGTCATTTCAGCCTGTGGTGCCTGGCCTTAAGGTCATCGATTAGTTAGGAACTCCCCTCACCTGGTTGTGTAGGTCTTAATTGGACACCAAAAAGATACAGCAGACACTCTGCCCTCCATGGAATGAGTTAGATACTCCTGTCCTAGACTCTTACAGCCATGGCTGACCACCACCACCCACCTTTGTTAGCGAGCGATGCACACTTTTCCTCTCTACTCGCTCCCCCCTCCTGCTCTCGACCACCCTGCCACACTTCTCCCCTCGACTGGCACTGCTTCCCAGCTGCAATTATCCCAGACAGCCGGTGGTCCTCACTAACAGTAGCAGCAGGGACTAGATTTATTGCCCTGTGGCTGTGGTGTGGCTCTCCTTCCCATTGTGTGGCGTATTGATCTGCTGCACGTCAAAAACCATCCTCACAGGCCCAGAGTCTGGCGCCACTCTGGCCCAATATCCCACCCACTGGCAATTAGCGTCATCTTCATTGTGTAGGAGAGGGACAATGGGGAGTGTGTATGTCGGGGAGTGTGTGTGTGTCAGGGTTTCCTACAGGAATATTTGCTGCTGGACAACGTGACCGGGAAGATTTTAATTTACAGGACATTTGATAAATTTACCGGACATCCATATGCATTTAGATCCGAAAGTATACTGAACAAAAATATAAAATGCAACAGGTAATGTGTTTGTCCCATTTTTCATGAGCTGAAATAAAAGATCCCAGAAATTGTCCATACTCACAAAAAGCTTATTTCTCTAAAATTTTGTGCACAAATTTGCTTACATTCTTGTTTGCCAATATAATCCATCCACCTGACAGGTGTGGCATATCAAGAAGCTGATTAAACCGCTTGATCATTACACAGGTGCACCTTGCACTGGGGACAATTAAAAGCCCCTAAAATGTGCAGTTTTGTCACACAACACAATGCCACAGATGTCTCAAGTTTTGAGGGAGCATGCAATTGGCATGCTGACTGCAGGAATCTCTACCAGATATGTTGTCAGATAATTTGTTTGTTTCTCTACCATAAATCTCCTCCAATGTCGTTTTAGAGAATTTTGTAGTATGTCCAACCGGCCTTATAACTGCAGACCACGTGTAACCACGCCAGCCCAGGACCTCCACATCTGGCTTCTTCACCTGTGGGATCATCTGAGGGGGTGCTAAGGCGTATTTCTGTCTGTAGTAAAGCCCTTTTGTGGGAAAAAACTCATTCTGATTGGCTGGGCCTGGCTCCCCAGTGGGTGGGCTGGGCTCCACCCATGGTTGTGCCCTTGCCCAGTCATGTGAAATCCCCATAGATTAGGGCCTAATTTAATTTATTTAAATTGACTGACTTCCTTATATGAACTGTAACTCAGTAAAATCTTTGAAATTGTTTCATGTTGGGTTTATTTTTGTTCAGTGTAAATACGGAGCACACAATTTAGAAAGACATACAAACTTAATTTAGCCAACGGAAATATCTCTACTGAATGAAACAAAACACGTGTTGCATATTTAAAGAACTGGTTTAGATTAATAAGTATGCCTACAATAATAATGATATGCAATAATAATAATGATGATAAAACTAATGATTATAAATAAATAAAAGTTCCAAAATTGCATCATAACTGAATAGCACACAGTAGCCTGCATTTGGCCACGCCACGTTCTTCTCATATTGGTCTACTACAATATTAAAACTTGTCCACATGGAGGACATTCCACTTGTAGGCTTTTCACTTTAGGCATAGTCTTTTTTCTTTAACTTTAGTTTTAATGCAATGAAAAACACCTCCATCTTCGCAATCAACAGTAGCCTAGGCCAAACTTCTCGTTTTCTGTTGTACCTGATAATTAATTGCATCCACCTGGTGTCCCAGATCTAAATCAGTCCTTGATTAGAGAGGAGATTTGTCCTCTGTCCTTTGTCTTCTGTAGCTCAGTTGGTAGAGAATGGCGCTTGCAACACCAGGATAGTGGGTTCAATTCCCGGGACCACCATACGCAAAAAACTGATTCACGTTTGACAGTAAGTCGCTTTGGATAAAAGCATCTGCTATATGCATGTTGTAGGGCTGCCCCATTTAGTCAACTGGGCGATTGTTTGGTCGATAGGCTGTTGGTCGACCAAGATTTTTATTTTGTCAAGCAGTGGCAAATATATTGTAAAGAATTATGGCACACGAGACACCTGTCTGATTCACGCCTGTCTGAGTGGATTACGTAATCTATTGCGGAGGCCGCGGGTCTGGCACACCAGTAGTACATTTACCGTTAATTACCATAATTTCTAACCTACAATGTTTGTTTGGTTACGGTAATTTCTGTTAATGCATTCAATATATTATTATTATTATTATTACAGTCTTACCGTTGTCATTGTAGGAGTGGACACATTGTTTACAGAGCGCACAACCTAGGCTACACTTGTGAGAAAAAAGTTTTGGTTTATTTCATTCCATTTACGAGTTGGCAATTTATTCATTGTCTTTTGTTTGGAGCGCTCCTGGCAATCTTTGGTAAGGACACGCACCTGATTACACATAGAGGTTGTCCTAGGCTACCTGGCCTCCACACAAATGTAGGCTTATAAATGTGCCCATTTGGGGATCTGATACTATTTCTGATTGTCTTAACTCACCATCACTTTGTAGCTTCTCAAAGTAATTTTGTCTTCGCCTCAAACAGCAAGTAAACAAAGTCTGTTTTTACATCCATTGAGAATGACAATAGTTCCTCAACGTAGCCTATTTGAAAGATCTTTCCATCTCTCCCTTTCGATAACCACTCAGCATGAAAGGGGAATAACATGCTCTGATCCGGTGGAAACGTCATAAAAAAGGTGTACCTGATTATCCCTTGCGCAAATAGCCTACAGATGTGTCTGTTTGTCCGGAGCTCACTGGCTCAGGAAACTCTTGAGGGCCCAGAATATGTTATTCAATGTTGCAAGTTTGCTAGAACTAGCTTAGGTCTGACCAAGTTAATAGTTTATACAATGTTTAAAGTTCCTTGCAGACAGGCCATGCATACAGTGAGGGGAAAAAAGTATTTGATCCCCTGCTGATTTTGTACGTTTGCCCACTGACAAAGAAATGATCAGTCTATAATTTTAATGGTAGGTTTATTTGAACAGTGAGAGACAGAATAACAACAAAAAAATCCAGAAAAACACATGTCAAAAATGTTATGAATTGATTTGCATTTTAATGAGGGAATTAAGTATTTCACCCCTCTGCAAAACCCTTGTTGGCAATCACAGAGGTCAGACGTTTCTTGTAGTTGGCCACAAGGTTTGCACACATCTCAGGAGGGATTTTGTCCCACTCCTCTTTGCAGATCTTCTCCAAGTCATTAAGGTTTCGAGGCTGACGTTTGGCAACTCGAACCTTCAGCTCCCTCCACAGATTTTCTATGGGATTAAGGTCTGGAGACTGGCTAGGCCACTCCAGCACCTTAATGTGCTCCTTCTTGAGCCACTCCTTTGTTGCCTTGGCCGTGTGTTTTGGGTCATTGTCATGCTGGAATACCCATCCACGACCCATTTTCAATGCCCTGGTTGAGGGAAGGTGGTTCTCACCCAAGATTTGACGGTACATGGCCCCGTCCATCGTCCCTTTGATGCGGTGAAGTTGTCCTGTCCACCCCCAAAGCATAATGTTTCCACCTCCATGTTTGACGGTGGGAATGGTGTTCTTGGGGTCATAGGCAGCATTCCTCCTCCTCCAAACACGGCGAGTTGAGTTGATGCCAAAGAGTTCTTCTCTGAATCATTCAGATGTTCATTGGCAAACTTCAGACGGGCCTGTATATGTGCTTTCTTGAGCAGGGGGAGCTTGCGGGCGCTGCAGGATTTTAGTCCTTCACGGTGTAGTGTGTTACCAATTGTTTTCTTGGTGTTTATGGTCCCAGCTGCCTTGAGATCATTGACAAGATCCTCCCGTGTAGTTTTTGGCTGATTCCTCAGCGTTCTCATGATCATTGCAACTCCACAAGGTGAGATCTTGCATGGAGCCCTAGGCCGAGGGAGATTGACAGTTCATTTGTGTTTCTTCCATTTGCAAATAATCGCACCAACTGTTGTCACCTTCTCACCAAGCTGCTTGGCGATGGTCTTGTAGCCCATTCCAGCCTTGTGTAGGTCTACAATCTTGTCCCTTGACATCCTTGGAGAGCTCTTTGGTCTTGGCCATGGTGGAGCGTTTGGAATCTGATTGATTGATTGCTTCTGTGGACAGGTGTCTTTTATACAGGTTACACGCTGAGATTAGGAGCACTCCCTTTAAGAGTGTGCTCCTAATCTCAGCTCGTTACCTGTATAAAAGACACCTCGGAGCCAGAAATCTTTCTGATTGAGAGGGGGTTAAATACTTATTTCCCTCATTAAAATGCAAATCAATTTATAACATTTTTCACATGCGTTTTTCTGGATTTTTTTGTTATTCTGTCTCTCACTGTTCAAATAAACCTACCATTAAAATTATAGACTGATCATTTCTTTGTCAGTGGGCAAACTTACAAAATCAGCAGGGGATCAAATACTGTTTTCCCTCACTGTAGGCTACGTGATTTATAGGATATTTATTTTTATCAGGATATTTTCTACCTACGGGCTGCAATGTTTTTATTTGTTGGCTTTATGTAGGCTATTTTTACATATTGGCAATAAAAGTTACTTTTAGATTTGTATCATTTTCATTTAGATATAAATTTGATTAACCACATGATATTTATTTTCAGATTTGATGAATTTATTATGAATTAAATGAAACTGTTCCACGAAAATGTGCATAGGAAAATCATCAGTAGATTAATCATCAGCACGCAGAACAGTAGAAATGGTACGATAACTTGGCACGCGAAATGGAAAGCGTTGCCGACCGCTGGTATAGCCTATTACTGGCAACGGCAGAATCTGTGAAGGCCAGCAGCAGCGGGAGGAGGGGGTCGGGAACAGTTTTTTGGGGGGTTAGGCTATATTGATCTCTGACTCCCTCTATAGTAATTTGTGTGTCTTCATTTTTAATCGCAGTGCTTAAAGTATCAGACAAGCTCAGTATCCTACATATAGTTGATTTTATTCAAACATGGAGTGTGTCTATATATGGAAAAAATACCTGTTTTAAAATTTAAATCAATCGATTGGTCGAAAGAACAGACGACTCTCCGTTGACGAATATCTTTTTTTGTCAGGGACAGCCCTAGCATGGTATTATTATTATTATTTGAATTGCCTGTACTATGACAGAGCTGTCTGTCCTCTCCTCCCTCAGCGTCCCGCTTCAACCTGGAGACAGAGTGGAAGAACAACTACCCCCGTCTGAGAGAGCTGGACAGGGTAAGGACCATCGAGATCCATATACAGTACCAGTCAAAAGTTTGGACACACCTACTCATTCAAGGGTTTTTCTTTATTTTTACTATTTTCTACATTGTAGAACTATGAAATAACACATATGGAATCATGTAATAACCAAAAAAGTGTTAAACAAATCTAGGCATTCTCTCAACCAGCTTCACCTGGAATGCTTTTCCAACAGTCTTGAAGGAGTTCCCACATGAGCACTTGTTGGCTGCTTTTCCTTCACTTTATGGTCCGACTCATCCCAAACCATCTCAATTGGGTTTAGGTCGGGGGATTGTGGAGGCCAGGTCATCTGATGCGGCACTCCATCACTCTCCTTCTTGGTAAAATAGCCCTTACACAGCCTGGAGGTGTGTTGGGTCATTGTCCGGTTCAAAAACAAATGATAGTCCCACTAAGCCCAAACCAGATGGGATGGCGTATCACTGCAGAATGCTGTGGTAGCCGTGCTGGTTAAGTGTGCCTTGAATTCTAAATAAATCACAGACAGTGTAACCAGCAAAGCACCCCCACACCATAACACCACCTCCTCCATGCTTTACGGTGGGAAATACCCATGCGGAGATCATCCGTTCACCCACACCGCGTCTCACAAAGCCACGGCGGTTGGAACCAAATATCTCCAATTTGGACTCTGACCAAAGGACACATTTCCACCGGTCTAATGTCCATTGCTCGTGTTTCTTGGCCCAAGCAAGTCTCTTCTTCATATTGGTGTCCTTTGGTTGTGGTTTCTTTGCAGCAATTCGATCATTAATTCGAGGCCTGATTCACACAGTCTCCTCTGAACAGTTGATGTTGAGATGTGTCTGTTACTTGAACTCTGTGAAGCATTTATTTGGGCTGCAATTTCTGAGGCTGGTAATGCTAATGAACTTATCCTCTGCAGCAGAGGTAACTCTGGGTCTTCCTTTCCTGTGGCGGTCCTCATGAGTCAGTTTCATCATAGCGCTTGATGGTTTTTGCGACTCACCTTCATGTCTTAAAGTAATGATGGACTGTAATTTCTCTTTGCTTATTTGAGCTGTTCTTGCCATTAACATGGACTTGGGTCTTTTACCAAATAGGGCTATCTTATGTATACCCCCCCTAACTTGTCACAACACAACTGATTGGCTGAAAAGCATTAAGAAGGAAATACATTCCACAAATTATATTTTAAGAAGGCACACCTGTTAATTGAAATGCATTCCAGGTGACTACCTCATGAAGCTTGTTGAGAGAATGCCAAGAGTGTGCAAAGCTGTCATCAAGGCAAAGGGTGGCTATTTGAAGAATCTCAAAAATAAAATATATTTTGATTTGTTTAACACTTTTCTGGTTACTACATGATTCCATATGTGTTATTTCATAGTTTTGATGTCTTCACTATTATTCTACAATGTAGAAAATAGTAAAAATAAAGAAAAACCCTTGAATGAGTAGGAGTGTCCAAACTTTCGACTGGTAGTGTATATCTATATCTATATATATCTTGTGTTCCATTATAATTCTATAGGCCTATATATTGTTTTACTTAATTATAGTTAACTCTAGTCTAGTTAGGACTCTGTCTGCTTCTGTCCACAATAATATCCTTCACCAGTCCAGTGTTCATGTCTGTCTATTGGGCTTTTTCTGAAATTTTGAGAGAATGGTCAACAGTGCCAGATTCCACCCGCTAATCATTAGTTTTCTGTTCATCTTATCCTCCAGAATGAACTCTTCGAAAAAGCCAAGAACGAAATCTTGGATGAAGTTATTAGCTTGAGTCAAGTGACACCGAAACACTGGTTAGTGTTTGCACTCATGTTTCCCGTGATGAACATGTTCCCCTTCAAATTATGTTGTATCACCTGCAGCTTTATGTACATGATTAGTGACTATTATTTAGTTTTTTAAAGATGTTATGATTTTATTATGGCCAACATCAACTTATGCTTCATATTCAAAGATCATTAAATTAATTCAGAAATTCCCCGGCAGTTAGCCGGCTTTGCTGTAGAAGCTCTGAATGGTGCAGGTGGCTAGCGTGTGTGCCTGTCTGTGTGCATGCGTGTATTGGTCTCAGCCCCCCCCCCCCAGAGGTTAGCAGTAGGCTAAATGAGATGGATGTCCAGTGGTTGGTGAGAGGCTGAGAGCCCCTCCGAGCCCCATCTGTAGCACTGGATCAATGGCCTGATGAATGGGCTACGGTGTGACTGGGGGTGGTGGGGGAGCCAAGATGGCCCTGTTAACCAGCAACGCAATCGAAGCATCTGAGAAGTGTGTTGTATTGATATGAGTGGTGCTGGGAGCAAAAACAAAGGGTTGTGGATGAAATATGAGTGTGTGTTTTGTGATAAATGAGTTTTCACCAGCAGCCCAGGGGGATTGAGTAGGGGTTTGTCCCATTGTCGTACAGCCCTGGTCAGATAAAGAGCCTAGCTTTAGTTAACAAGCTGCTGGGCTTTCATGGGGATTTGGCCCAAAAGTAGTGCATTATATCAGGAATAGGGTGTCATTTTGGGATTCACCCACATAGTGTTGTCTCCAAAGCGATGTCCAACCACAAATACCTAGGTGTCGGGTTAGACCGTAAACTCTCCTTCCAGACTCACATTAAGCAACTCCAATCCAAAGTTAAATCTAGAATCGGCTTCCTGTTTCGCAACAAAGCTTCCTTCACTCATGCTGCTAAACATGCCCTCGTAAAACTGACTATCCTACCGATCCTTGACTTTGGTGATGTCATTTACAAAATAGCTTCCAACACTCAACTCAGCAAATTGGATGTAGTCTATCACAGTGCCATCCGTTTTGTCACCAAAGCCCCATATACTACCCACCATTGTGACCTGTACGCTCTTGTTGGCTGGCCCTCACTACATATTCGTCGCTAAACCCACTGGCTCCAGGTCATCTATAAATCACTTCTAGGGAAATCCCCGCCTTATCTTAGCTCATTGGTCACCATAGCAACACCCACCCGTAGTATGCACTCCAGCATGTATATCTCACTGGTCATCCCCAAAGCCAACACCTCCTTTGGCCGCCATTCCTTCCAGTTCTCTGCCACAAATGACTGGAACTAACTACAAAAATCTCTGAAGCTGGAGACACTTATCTCCCTCATTAACTGTAAGCATCAGTTGTCAGAGCAGCTTATCGATCACTGTACCTGTACACAGCCCATCTGTAATTAGCCCACCCAACTACCTCATCCCCATATTGTTATTTACATTATTTATTTTTCTCATTTGCACCCCAGTATCTCTATCTGCACATCTATCACTCCAGTGTTAATACTAAATTGTAATTATTTTGCACTATGGCCTATTTATTGCCTTACCTCCATATCTTACTACATTTGCACATAATGTATATACATTTTCTATTTTCTATTGTGTTATTGACTGTACGTTTTTGTTTATTCCATATGTAACTCTGTGTTGTTGTTGTTTTTATCGCACTGCTTTACTTTATCTTGGCCAGGTCGCAGTTGTAAATGAGAACTTGTTCTCAACTGGCTTACCTGGTTAAATAAAGGTGTAAAAAAAATAAAATCTCACTTGGTTGTATTTCCCCTATCTGCCCTTTGCCCCTGCAGGGAGGCCATCCTACAGAAGAAGCTGTGGGAGCGGGTGTCCACACACGTCATCGAGAACATCTACCTGCCGGCAGCCCAGACCATGAACTCTGGCACCTTCAACACCACCGTGGACATCAAGCTCAAACAGTGGACAGACAAGCAGCTGCCTCACAAAGCATTAGAGGTGGAGTTACACTATTACTGCTGCCTCAATCTCTTTAAATCTCTTCATGGCTAACTGTGGAGCTACAGTGCTTTCGGAAAGTATTCACACCCCTTCCCTTTTTCCACCCTCATCAATCTACACCCCATAATGACAAATCAAAAACAGGTTTTTAGAATGTTTTGCAAATGTATTAAAAAAAATATTTTAAAAAATACCTTATTTACATAAGTATTCAGCCCCTTTGCCATGAGACTCGAAATTGAGCTCAGGTGCGTCCTGTTTCAATTGATCATCCTTGAGATGTTTCTACAACTTGATTGGAGTCCACCTGTGTTAAATTCAATTGATTGGACATGATTTGGAAAGGCACACACCTGTCTATATAAGGTCCCACAGTTGACAGTGTATTTCAGAGCAATAACCAAGCCATGAGGTCGAAGGAATTGGCCATAGAGCTCCGAGACAGGATTGAGTCGAGACAGATCTGGGGAAGGGTAGCAACACATTTCTGCAGCATTGACGGTCCCCAAGAACACAGTGGCCTCCATCATTCTTAAATGGAAGAAGTTTGGAACCACCAAGACTCTTCCTAGAGCTGGCCGCCTGGCCAAACTGAACAATCGGGGGAGAAGGGCCTTGGTCAGGGAGGTGACCAAGAACCCAATGGTCACTCTGACAGAGCTCTAGAGTTCCTCTGTGGAGATGGGAGAACCTTCCATAAGGACAACCATCTCTGCAGCACTCCACCAATCAGGTCTTTATGGTAGAGTGGCTAGACGGAAGCCACTCCTAAGTAAAAGGCACATGACAGCCCAATTGGAGTTTGCCAAATGGCACCTAAAGGACTCTCAGACCATGAGAAACAAGAATCTCTGGTTTGATGAAACCAAGATTGAACTCTTTGGCCTGAATGCCAAGCGTCACGTCTGGAGGAAACATGGCACCATCCCTACGGTGAAGCATGGTGGTGGCAGCATCATGCTGTGGAGATGTTTTTTAGTGGCAGGGACAGGGAGACTAGTTAGGATCGAGGGAAAGATGAACAGAGCAAGTACAGAGAGATCCTGGTTGAAAACCTGCTCCAGAGCGCTCATGACCTCAGACTTGGGCGAAGGTTCACCTTCCAACAGGACAATGACCCTAAGCACACAACCAAGACAACATAGGAGTGGCTTTGGGACAAGTCTCTGAATATCCTTGAGTGGCCCAGCCAGAGCCCAGACTTGAACCCGATCAAACAACTCTTGAGAGACCAGAAAATAGCTGTGCAGCGATGCTCCCCATCCAACCTGACAGAGCTTGAGAGGATCTTCAGAGAAGAATGGGAGAAACTCTCCAAATACAGCTGTGCCAAGCTTGTAGCGTCATACCCAAGAAGACTCGAGTCTGTAATCGCTGCCAAAGGTGCTTCAACAAAGTACTGAGTAAAGGGTCTGAATACGTATGTAAATGTGATATATTTGCAAAAATGAAGAAAAACCTGTTTTTACTTTGTCATTATGTGGTATTTTGTGTAGATTCATGAGGGGGGAAAAACTGTTTAAACCATTTTGGAATAAGGCTGTAACATAACAAAATGTGGGAAAAGTCAAGTGGTCTGAATTCTTTCCGAATGCACTGTAAATGTCTTAAGGAAATGTTCATGTCAGGACTCTGTTTTGATTATTTCAATAATTATTATTGGAGATGAATGGTTTTACTGTTGTAGTCAATTATGTCCTTTTGTTCCACATTTGCGTTTTCCTCGCAATCACTAATTGGTATGACAGTAATGGTATGCAGATATTGTAGCGTTGTCACAGTAGTCTGTAGCCGGCCATTGTGCTGTGTTGACACAAGGCCCCATCTTCTTCTCTGTTCCTCACAGGTTGCCTGGGAGACGCTGCAGGAGGAGTTTGCCCGCTTCATGGCCGAGTATAAAGGGAAGGACCAGGACGACATCTTTGACAAGCTCAAGGAGGCAGTGAAGGACGAGAGCATCAAGAGGCACAAGTGGAACGAGAGGGCCATGGACAGCCTGGTAATTAAACATGGGCACACACACAGTAAAAAGACACTGACATTGCGATACTCTTTACTCTTTCTCATATTCAACCACATATACAGCAGGCAAACATTGTTATACATTCAGGTTTCCTGTCTCCCCTTGCCTTGTGCGTAATGTCATTTCTCCTGTCTGTGTGTGTTGTCAGAGGGTGATCCAGCACAATGCTCTGGAGGACCGCTCCATCACAGACAAGCCCCAGTGGGATGCAGCCATCCAGTTCATGGAGGAGACCCTGCAGGCGCGCCTCAAAGACAGTACGTTACACACCCACCTTCAACATGGCTTACCCCCTTTAGTATCAACCACTTTCTTGAACTTTCACTTACTGAGTTGCTGATGTACAGTTGAAGTCGGAAGTTTACATACACCTTAGCCAAATACATTTAAACTCAGTTTTTCACAATTCCTGACATTTAATCCCAGTAAAAATTCCCTGTTTTAGGTCTGTTAGGATCACCACTTTATTTTAAGAATGTTAAATGTCAGAATAATAGTAGAGAGAATGATTTATTTCAGCTTTTATTTATTTCATCACATTCCCAGAGGTTCAGAAGTTTACATACACTCAATTAGTATTTGGTAGCATTGCCTTTAAATTGTTTAACTTGGGTCAAACGTTTCGGGTAGCCTTCCACAAACTTCCCACAATAAGTTGGGTGAATTTTGGCCCATTGGTCCTGATCGAGCTGGTGTAACTGAGTCAGGTTTGTAGGCCTCCTTGCTCGCACACGCTTTTTCAGTTCTGCCCACAAATGTTCTATAGGACTGAGGTCAGGGCTTTGTCATGGCAACTCCAATACCATGACATTGTTGTCCTTAAGCTGTTTTGCCACAACTTTGGAAGTATGCTTGGGGTCATTGTCCATTTGGAAGACCCATTTGCGACCAAGCTTTAACTTCCTGACTGATGTCTTGAGACGTTGCTTCAATATATCCACATAATTTTCCTTCCTCATGATGCCATCTATTTTGTGAGGGGCACCAGTCCCTCCTGCAGCAAAGCACCCCCACAGCATGATGCTGCCACCCCCGTGCTTCACGGTTGGGATGGTGTTCTTCGGCTTGCAAGCCACCCCCTTTTTCCTCCAAACATAACGATGGTCATTATGGCCAAACAGTTCTATTTTTGTTTAATCAGACCAGAGGACATGTCTCCTAAAAGTAAGATCTTTGTCCCCATGTGCAGTTGCAAACTGTAGTCTGGCTTTTTATGGCGGTTTTGGAGCAGTGACTTCTTCCTTGCTGAGCGGCCTTTCAGGTTATGTCGATATAGGACTAGTTTTTCTGTGGATATAGATACTTTTGTGCCTGTTTCTTCCAGCATCTTCACAAGGTCCTTTGCTGTTGTTCTGGGATTGATTTGCACTTTCCGCACCAAAGTACGTTCATCTCTAGGAGACAGAACGCGTCTCCTTCCTGAGCGGTATGATGGCTGCGTGGTCCCATGATGTTTATACTTGCGTACTATTGTTTGTACAGATGAACGTGGTAGCTTCAGGCGTTTGGAAATTGCTCCCAAGGATGAACCAGACTTGTGGAGGTCTTCAATTTTCTTTCTGAGGTCTTGGCTGATTTGTTTTTATTTTCCCATGATGTCAAGCAAAGAGGCACTGAGTTTGAAGGTAGGACTTGAAATACATCCACAGGTATACCTCCAATTGACTCAAATGATTAGCCTATCAGAAGCTTCTAAAGCCAGAAACATCATTTTCTGGAATTTTCCAAGCCGTTTAAAGGCACAGTCAACTTTTTGTGATACAGTGAATTATAAGTGAAATAATCTGTCTGTAAACAAAGTCGATGTCCTATCCGACTTGACAAAACTATAGTTTGTTAACAAGACATTTGTGGAGTGGTTGAAAAACACGTTTTAATGACTCCAACCTAAGTGTATGTAAACTTCCGACTTCAACTGTATATTTGTCTCCTTCTCTCTGCACCTGTCTATCTCTGTTAGGGTTGTCACGATACCAGTGTTGCTATACTACGATACCAGATTTTCCATGGCAAAAAAGAAAACCGGAATTAGTTTGAACTCTATGGTCCTATAAAAACCTACTTTACGTAAAATTGTGTGTGCTATAGCTTGCAAATTAGACATGTGACTCTAGGTCACAACATAATGCTGTTTGTTTCTAACATTAGGACTGTTTTCCTCAAGAAATGAAATCCGCTTCATGTTTTGTTTTCTTGCCACGATACTTCCCAGGATCGCGATACAGGTATCGTGACAACCCTAATCCCCCCCCCCCCCCCCTTGCACCTGTCTATCTCTATTACTACAATCTTACTACCTCTGTGTGTCACCTAGCTGAATCAGTGATAAATGACATGGTGGGTCCTGACTGGAAGCAGCGCTGGATGAGCTGGAAGAACCGCTCGCCCGAGCAGCACACCCGCAACGAAACCAAAAACGAGCTGGAGCGCCTGCTGAAGCTCCACGAGGACCACACAGCCTACCTGGCAAACGACGAGGTCACCACTGTCCGCAAGAATCTGGAGGGCCGAGGGGTGGAGGTGGACCCTGCCCTGGTGAGGGAGACCAACTCTGGTCACATTTTCTGGTCACAAGTCTTAGGAACTCCAATGGAGTAAACATGTAATAACTTTGCAATAAGTATGTATGCATTTATTGAAGAACTGGGCAGGTGGAAGTATCTCTCCAGTAGGTACCCACCATATTGTGTTTTCAGATCATTATCTCGATAGAGGAGATGAGTACTCAAAGACACAAGTATTTAGATGCACGCACGCAGGTGCACATACAAACGCACACACACTACCCCACATACAAACGCACACACACTACCCCAGACACCATGAAGCAGAGTCTGCCCCTCTCTCATTCTGTCCCTCCTCTACTACTTCCTGTGTTCCAGATCAAGGACACGTGGCACCAACTGTATAGACGTCACTTCCTGCAGAAGGCCCTGCAGCACTGTAACCTGTGTAGACGAGGCTTCTACTACTACCAGAGACACTTTGTTGACTCAGAGGTAAGTGACCTAGGCTCCGATGTAAGCTGCCAGTGATAGCTGTTCTCAACTAAGGTTTTAGTGACACATTATGATTTGAGTTCAACAAGGCTTCCGTTTTGGCGAACATGTTACCACAATTTCAGTTGAATGATTTAAATGAACATTCCAAAATGTTATGGTGAAGCCACAAATAGCTAATTTTTGTAAGGATTATTCATTCTCACTAGATGAAATAGAAAGCCTAAATCGCCACATGATTATTTGTAGTGGCAGTTAATCATTTACATTTTAGTCATTTAGCAGAAGCTCTTATCCAGAGCGACTTACAGTTAGTGAGTGCATACATTATTTATATTTTTTCATACTGGCCCCCCCGTGGGAATCTAACCCACAACCCTGGCGTTGCAAACGCCATGCTCTACCAACTGAGCTACATCCCTGCCGGCCATTCCCTCCCCTACCCTGGGCCAATTGTGCGCCGCACCATGGGTCTCCCGGTCGCGGCCGGCTACGACAGAGCCTGGATTCGAACCAGGATATCTAGTGGCACAGCTAGCACTGCAATGCAGTGCCTTAGACCACAGCGCCACTCGGGAATACCTGCAACATACACTTAAGTTTGCCTACCTTCTCAGATGTTATGCCTCGATCAGACCGACAGCCCCATTTGCGTTTCGGTACACCAGAAGTGTATTTCCAGTGGAAGCTGCGTTTGCCTTGCAGCGTTGCAGAGGCAGTCGCAATGCGTTCTGTGTGGTGCATATGTTGGATATATCCAACATATGCATCAAATTTACGTTTGGCTGCAGAATTTATTACGCAGCATTGATGCATTGACGCTGTGGTTAACACAAAATAAATGGAATGTGTTATTTCCCTTGTTGAACACACCTTTGGACTGTAGTACGTTGTCCATCCATCTACACTACCCTTTCCCCTGCCTGCAGTAAAAACCATGGAAAAATACTTTACATTTTTTAAATACAATTCACCTGTCATTTTTTGGATTTCATCTACACTACCCCCCCAATTATCTCTGACTAATACTGCATGTACGTTTGACCCTATCTCAGTTTAAAAGTATCTTGTTTATCTTTCTTTGTAGCTGGAGTGCAATGACGTAGTGCTGTTCTGGAGGATCCAGAGGATGCTGCTTATCACAGCCAACACACTCAGACAGCAGCTAACCAACACAGAGGGTATGCTGGGACTAGGGTATAGGGCTGGGACTGGGGTATAGGGCTGGGACTGAGACTGGGGAATAGGGCTGGGTTACAGGGCTGGGACTGGGGTATGGGACTGGGGTATGGGGCTGGGACTGGGGTATGGGGCTGGGACTTGTGTATAGGGCTGGGACTGGGGTATAGGGCTGGGACTGGGGTGTAGGGCTGAGACTGGGGTATAGGAATTGGGCTGGGGTATGGGGCTGGGGTATAGGGCTGGGACTGGGGTATAGGGCTGGGACTGAGGTATGGGACTGGGATTGGGGTATGGGATTGGGGTATAGGAATGGGGCTGGGACTGAGGTATAGGGCTGGGACTGAGTTATAGGGCTGGGACTGAGTTATAGGGCTGGGACTGGGGTATAGGGCTGGGATTGGGGTATAGGGTTGGGTATGGGGCTGAGGTATAGGGCTGGGACTGAGACTGGGGTATAGGGCTGGGACTGGGACTGGGGTATAGGGCTGGGGCTGAGACTGGGGTATAGGACTGGGGTATAGGGCTGGGCTATAGGGCTGGGGCTGAGACTGGGCTATAGGGCTGGGACTGAGACTGGGGTATAGGGTTGGGGCTGAGACTGGGTATAGGGTATGGCCTGGTAATGGAGTATAGAGCTGGTAATGGGGTTTTCAGCCATTACAAAAAGTGGAAATCAAACCGGAAACCAGTGGAACAGACTTCCTGTTGTGTTCGTCGTTGCAGAGATTGCGTTCCCCTGAAATTCATACTAGCTATACTAGCATAGGCTTCATGGTTAGCTTGATTATCATGAGTTAGCTAATGTTGGGGCTAGGCAGAACTGGGCGGAGTCATATAAGACTGAGCTACACTGAACTGGGGCTTAGCTGGGATGAACCCACGTCTGTACCATCTCAGTCTGCCAACTTACTTACTTACTTACTTACTTACTTTATTGTCCCCATGGGGAAATTTTGTTGCAGTGTCATGTACACATTTAAAGTGGCGTTAAATACAAAACAAGATTGACAATACAACTTTCAATAACAGTCACCCACCAATAAAAGTAAGAAATAAGAAATAAAACATTTAAAACATTTAAAACAAAGACTAGCCTGCTGGCCTTACGGGGTCAATGGGAACATTTGCCCGAGCTATTTAAGAGGGATATCACACTTGGCACAAATGATTGTCTCGTTCTATTTTTCCTGCTGAGGGGTGCCCTATACCTACGCCCAGAGGGGAGTAATTCAAAGTCCAGGTACAGGGGGTGACTTGGGTCTAAAATGATTTTGTGAGCCTTACGGAGGGCCCTGACCTTAAAGATCTCATCCAGGCCTGTCTGTTTGACTCCAAGTACCTTACTTGCTGTGGTAATAATCCTTCTCAGCATGTTTCTCTGACTGACAGTGGCATTGCCAAACCAACAAACAATACAAAAAGTTAAAATACTCTCAATAAAGGATTTGTAAAACAGAGTCAATATAGTACAGTCTATATTAAAAGAACCCAACTTTTTTAGAAAGTACAGTCTCTGTTGGCTCTTTTTGTAGATCTGGTCTGTACATTTACTCCACTGAAGCTTACTGTCCAAAAAGACACCCAGATATTTATATTCCTCTACAATTTCTATATTCTGGCCTCTGATAGATGTTGCAGAGGTAGGTGTTGTACGCTTCCTGAAGTCTATGCACATCTCTTTGGTCTTGTTAGTATTGAGGACCAAGTGTGATTCCTCACACCACTCTACAAAGTCATCTAGGACCGGGCCATGATGTTCCTCGTCATCATGCAACAGGCTGATCAAGGCAGTGTCATCAGCGAACTTAACGAGGTGTCTGTCAGTATGGGAACTAGTACAACTATTAGTGTACAAGATGTACAGAAGTGGGGACAAAACACATCCCTGAGGAGAGCCTGTGTTGGTATTGCGTATATCCGACACATGGGGACCTATTTTGACTCGCTGTGAGCGTTGGCTCAGGAAGTCCAACAGCCACAAAACCAGCCCCCCATCTAAGGAAAAGTCCCGAATGAGTCTCTGTGCCAGAATGTAAGGCTGGATTGTGTTGAAGGCAGAAGAAAAGTCAACAAACAGAACCCTGACATGAGATTTGGCACCTTCTAGATGTCTATAGACCATGTTAAGGAGGGTAAGAATGGCATCATCAACTCCTCTGCTGGTCTGATAGGCAAACTGAAATGGGTCGAGGAGCTTCTGGGTGACACTGAGAATATGACTTTTCACAATTTTCTCAAGGCATTTCATAACTAAGGATGTCAAAGCGACAGGGCGATAGTCATTCAGCACAGAGGGATTTGATACTTTAGGAATTGGTATAATTATTGATTTTTTCCACAATACTGGAACGTGTTGCTGGTTGAGTGAAGATTGGAAAATGTCTGTAAAAACACCAGCCAGTTGTTCAGCACAGTGCTTTAACACATGCCCACTTATTTTGTCTGGGCCTGGGCTTTTGTATGTGTTACATCCCCTGAACAACTTTAGAACATCAGACTGTTGAACAACAACTCTCTCAAACATTTGTAATGATGCTTTCATTTGTTTTACCTCCGACACGAAGTTGTCTGATTCAAATCTTGAGAAGAAAACATTCAGTTCATTAGCCATGTTCTGGCCCTCATATCCCCCAAGGTCAGCACTGGTTTTTCCCCTGCCTATATGGGGGGCACTAGCCATGGATTTAATCCCTTGCCAGGCCACCCTTGCGTTTCCTGAGGAGAGGGTCCTCTCCACCCTTTGCTTGTATGCCTCCTTGTCCACCAGTATCTGTCTTTTTTATCTCACGTTGTACATCTCTTAAAGCCTGTCTATCACCCCCAGCATAAACTGCCTTCTTCCTATCAAGTAGTGATTTTAGATGTTTTGATACCCAAGGCTTGTTGTTAGGGAAGATTTTACAGGTCTTAGTAGGCACAACTGACTCAACACAGAAGTTTACATAGTCTGAAATAACCTCTGTGAGTTCATCCAGATCAGAGCTGCTGTCCTCAAATACCTCCCACATTGTACAGTCAAAACACCCCTGGAGACAAGTGATACTGTTGTCATTCCAGATCTGGACAGTTTTAACTGTGGGTTTCTCCCTCTCCAGGAGGCGAGAACTGCCAAGCCCTCACCAGAGCATACAGGCAGGCAGCTGCATACCAGCCCCACCGGCCTGAAATTGAAGGCTTTATAGCTCTTAACTGGTTTAAATGAGAGGGGCGGTAAACAGTCCGTTGAGTCATAGAGTTTGAGCGGAGAACGTCTGCCCTCAGTCTGACCCTGAGTGAGCTACTGTGTCCTGGGGAGCTAGGCAGCAGAATTATTGGTTGTGCCCCAAATGGTACCCTATTCCGTACATAGTGCACTACTTTTGACCTAGTGCATTATTGTTTTTAACCGTGCCCATAGTGAATAGGGTGCCATTTGGGACACTAGCTGAGCTACAGGGTGGAACCAGGTGTGCTGTATCTAGGGCTAGGCGATATGGCCTAAAAGTCATATCTAAAAGAACATCTGACTTCACAATATATCTAAAGTGTTTTCATGTTTTCTCTAAATAAGCTTTGTTGTACAATTTAAAGGTCAAATACACTGCACTTCAAACAGACAGCAATAATCTAATGAATTCAGGGCGTGTGAAATTATACCTAGGCTAAATTTACAGTGCATTCAGAAGTATTCAGACCCCTTGACCTTTTCCACATTTTGTTATGTTACGGCCTTATTCTAAAATTGATGAAATTGTTAGTTTTCTCTCATCAATCTACACACAAAACCCCATAATGACAAAGCAAAAACAGGTTTGTATTTTTTTTAGTACTCAGTACTTTGTTGAAGCACCTTTTGGCAGCGATTACAGCCTCAAGTCTTCTTGGGTATGACGCTAGAAGGTTTCCTCCAGACGTGACACTTGGCATTCAGGCCAAAGAGTTAAATCTTGGTTTCATCAGACCAGAAAATCTTGTTTCTCATGGTCTGAGAGTCCTTTTATAGGTGCCTTTTGGCAAACTCCAAGTGGGCTGTCATGTGCCTAGGAGTCACATCCATCTGGCCACTCTACCATAAAGGCCTGATTGGTGGAGTGCTGCAGAGATGGTTGTCCTTCTGGAAGGTTCTCCCATCTCCACAGAGGAACTCTGGAGCTCTGTCAGAGTGACCATCAGGTTCTTGGTCACCTCCCTGACCAAGGCCCTTCTCCACTGATTGCTCAGCCAGTCTTGGTGGTTCCAAACTTCTTCCATTTAAGAATGATCGAGGTCACTGTGTTCTTGGGGACCTTCAATGCTGCAGATTTTTTTTGGATAAGAGCGTCTGCTAAATGACTAAAATGTAATAATATAATTATATAATGGCTTTCATGTCGGTCTATGAAAATGCCCTTTTTGTTACAAATTTAATCAGAACCATGCATAATACATTCACTACTAATGAATAACTTCTTGTAGCAGGCATTTAGAAAATTAACACAGGTCTCATGAACGATCTCTCTAGCACAAGCCCACGTGCTAGTGAGTAGACAGCTAATCTTTATATTTCAAGTTTAGCCAACTTGGATCTACAGTGGGGAAAAAAATATTTAGTCAGCCACCAATTGTGCAAGTTCTCCCACTTAAAAAGATGAGGCCTGTAATTTTCATCATAGGTACACGTCAACTATGACAGACAAAATTAGGAAAAAAAATCCAGAAAATCACATTGTAGGATTTTTAATGAATTTATTTGCAAATTATGGTGGAAAATAAGTATTTGGTCAATAACAAAAGTTTCTCAATACTTTGTTATATACCCTTTGTTGGCAATGGCACAGGTCAAACGGTTTTCACACACTGTTGCTGGTATTTTGGCCCATTCCTCCATGCAGATCTCCTCTAGAGCAGTGATGTTTTGGGGCCGTCGCTGGGCAACACGGACTTTAAACTCCCTCCAAAGATTTTCTATGGGGTTGAGATCTCGAGACTGGCTAGGCCACTCCAGGACCTTGAAATGCTTCTTACAAAGCCACTCCTTCGTTGCCCGGGCGGTGTGTTTGGGATCATTGTCATGCTGAAAGACCCAGCCACGTTTCATCTTCAATGCCCTTGCTGATGGAAGGAGGTTTTCACTCAAAATCTCACGATACATGGCCCCATTCATTCTTTCCTTTACACGGATCAGTCGTCCTGGTCCCTTTGCAGAAAAACAGCCCCAAAGCATGATGTTTCTACCCCCATGCTTCACAGTAGGTATGGTGTTCTTTGGATGCAACTCAGCATTCTTTGTCCTCCAAACACGACGAGTTGAGTTTTTACCAAAAAGTTCTATTTTGGTTTCATCTGACCATATGACATTCTCCCAATCCTCTTCTGGATCATCCAAATGCACTCTAGCAAACTTCAGACGGGCCTGGACATGTACTGGCTTAAGCAGGGGGACACGTCTGGCACTGCAGGATTTGAGTCCCTGGCGGCGTAGTGTGTTACTGATGGTAGGCTTTGTTACTTTGGTCCCAGCTCTCTGCAGGTCATTCACTAGGTCCCCCCGTGTGGTTCTGGGATTTTTGCTCACCGTTCTTGTGATCATTTTGACCCCACGGGATGAGATCTTGCGTGGAGCCCCAGATCGAGGGAAATTATCAGTGGTCTTGTATGTCTTCCATTTCCTAATAATTGCTCCCACAGTTGATTTCTTCAAACCAAGCTGCTTACCTATTGCAGATTCAGTCTTCCCAGCCTGGTGCAGGTCTACAATTTTGTTTCTGGTGTCCTTTGATAGCTCTTTGGTCTTGGCCATAGTGGAGTTTGGAGTGTGACTGTTTGAGGTTGTGGACAGGTGTCTTTTATACTGATAACAAGTTCAAACAGGTGCCATTAATACAGGTAACGAGTGGAGGACAGAGGAGCCTCTTAAAGAAGAAGTTACAGGTCTGTGAGAGCCAGAAATCTAGCTTGTTTGTAGGTGACCAAATACTTATTTTCCACCATAATTTGCAAATAAATTCATTAAAAATCCTACAATGTGATTTTCTGGATATTTTTTTCTCATTTTGTCTGTCATATTTGACGTGTACCTATGATGAAAATTACAGGCCTCTCTCATCTTAAGTGGGAGAACTTGCACAATTGGTGGCTGACTAAATCCTTTTTTCCCCACTGTATTTGCTAGCTAACAAGGCAGAACAGTTGAATTGTTATGAGATCACCCTGTCCATCTCCAACTGTTTGAACAGCATGCTAACCTGTCCACTTTGTTCAGATGTTGAAATCAAGTGGCCTACCTTATTTCTCAGAATGAAAACGACTTGCCAATTCCTTATACAAATGTTCTTTATGCTTATTGCACATTTATAAAAGACTAGACAGCTAGTGTAACAGTCTTTGGCTAAAATGCTGCTGGCGGTACATGGTACTGCAATGCCGTGCTCGACAAACTGAGTATTTTCAAGAATCATTGTTCATTGATACTCCCGCTTTAGTAGTGTCTGGCTCAGCGTGCAATTTGAAGAGTTGAGACATAAAAAGGGTATTGTTAGAAAGGTTTAACTTCTCCTCTATTACAGTAAAATAATGTCTCTGTGTTTCGGTGTCCATATGACCGATTCTGTTGGAACAAATCTCAAATGCAAATAGTGAGTTGAAACCGCTTGTCAGAGAGTAAGAAGTGATCTCTCATCTTTGTTGATGTGAGTGGCAGGGGTAGGGGCTTGGTGTGTAAACAGAGGAAGAGGCGACGGGCGAGGTTTCACTCTCGTCTAAAATAAGACAATGCGTTTCTATGGACTTATTTTGGACCTCAGCTTGTCGTCTTCCTTCCCGCCTTTGGGACAACGACTCCCGTTGTTAGGGCGGAGACATGAGCATCTCATCATTATATAGATATCTGGTGTAAATGGTTAGGTGCACACAGCACAGAAGGAACGAAGGAGACTAGACCAAAAAGACAACATTAGAACAAGCGGACATAAACGCTCATAAAAACAAAACGGGCATTTGGAATGTCACGCAAAAATATAGATTTGAATTAATACAGTGAATTAGATATATCACGCAGCCCTATTGTAGCTCAACTGTCTTGTTCAAAGAGCACTTGCACCATATTGCTAGGCATATCTATATACATTGAGTATACCAAACATTAGGAACACCTTTGTAAGATTGTTGCTCGGTGTAGGTTTATGTTCCCTGTATCTTTGATCTCTGACATTTTGTGGTGTGTGTATTTGTGCCCCTGTGTGTGTGCCTGTGTGTGTGTGTGTTTTGCATATTCAGTGCGGCGCCTGGAGAAGAACGTGAAGGAGGTACTAGAGGACTTTGGTGAGGACAACGAGAGGAAGGTCCACCTCATCACCGGACGCAGAGTACAGCTGGCAGAGGACCTCAGTGAGTCACCACACACACACACACACTTGTTACACACACACCAGCTACATACACACACTTTGGTTTAACCAGAATGGTACAGTCACATTTGTGGTCCCTCCTGTTTATGCCTTACTAGTGAATAGATCACTTATATTATGGTATCTAGAGGAAGAACAAATATTTTTATGTAGAAAATATTGTTTTGAATATGATGGATTTGCTGTGGGTTTCCCTTTCGCTGATTTGAAGACACTGTGTGGTTTTGCAATATACCAGACGCCACTAGATGGCAGTGGTGGTAAAGGAAAGGTGAAGTCTTCTCATTCACTATATTTCAGTGCATTGGAAAAGGTTGAGTCTCCTGTGTCTGTTACTGCTACAGATTGACAGCTAACAATGGGATGTCTGCTTCGTAGCAGTGACGTCTTAGACACAGTCTGACCACTGTGTAGCTTAAGTTACTGTATACCTCCACATGCATGTGCCTTCCATTGGGCTAGACACACATTTACATTACATTTTAGTAACTTAGCAGACACACACTCTCTACTTCAGGATACGTGAATGCATACACACAGACACACTCTCGCATGCTCTCTCTTACTCTCTTTATCTCTCCATGGGGCTTGAGACTTTAATTGCTCCTCTCAGGAGAGGAGGAGGAAAGCAAAAGAGCGGGAAAGAGAGAGTGTCTGGCAGCAGCAATAGCTAACAGTGTGCTGCCCGCCGCCTGTCATGTCCACCAGCCCTGCTCTCTGGTAAGAGGCGCCGCTGATTAAACACAGCAATATGTGGAGTGCCGACAAGTCCAGACTAGCTCTCTCTCACACTCACGAGCCACACACACACCACCCGTCCTCTCACACACTGATAACAGAGGAAGCAAAGTGACAGTGCTGCCACCTCAATAAGTGCGTGTGCGTCTATAACTTTCAATGTGGTCGTATCATTTTACTATGGTCAAAAGTAGTGCACTATATAACCCATCTGAATATATATGACTATATGAAGTGATCTGATATTGTATACCATGGAATGTACACTGAACAAAAACATAAACGCAACATGTAAAGTGTTGGTCCCATGTTTCATGAGCTAAAATAAAAGATCCCAGAAATGTTCCATACACACAAAAAGCATATTTCTCTTAAATTTTGTGCGCACATTTTTTTTACATTCCTGTTAGTGAGCATTTCTCTTTTGCCAAGATAATCCATCCACCTGACAGGTGTGGCATATTAAGAAGCTGATTAAACAGAATGATCATTACACGGGTGCACCTTGTGCTGGGGGACAATAAAACGCCACTCTAAAATGTGCAGTTTGGTCACAACACAGATGTCTCAAGTTTTGAGTGAGCATGCTGACTGCAGGAATGTCCAGCAGATAATTGTTTTAAAGAATTTGGCAGTACGTCCAACCAGCCTCACAACTGCAGACCACTTGTATGGCGTCGTGTTGGCGAGCGGTTTGCAGATGTCAATGTTGTGAACAGAGTGCCCCATGTGGTGGTGGGGTTATGGTATGGGCAGGCATAAGCTATGGACAACGAACACAATGTCATTTTATCAATGGAAATTTGAATGCATAGAGATATGGTGACGAGATCCTGAGTCCCATTGTCATGCCATTCATCCGCCGCCATCACCACAATTGTACACAATTCCTGGAAGCTGAAAATGTCCCAGTTCTTCCATGGCCTGCGTACTCACCAGACATGTCACCCATTCAGCGAGCAGGTTTGGGGTGCTCTGGATTGACGTTTATGACAGCGTGTTCCAGTTCCCGCCAATATCTATGCAAAGGAGATGTCACGCTGCATGAGGCAAATGGTGGTCACACCAGATACTGACTGGTTTTCCATGCCCCTACCCAGTCACGTGAAATTCATAGATTAAGGCCCATTATATTTGTGAAATATGAAAACTGAATATATATATATATATATATACAGTGGGGGAAAAAAGTATTTAGTCAGCCACCAATTGTGCAAGTTCTCCCACTTAAAAAGATGAGAGAGGCCTGTAATTTTCATCATAGGTACACGTCAACTATGACAGACAAAATGAGATTTTTTTTCTCCAGAAAATCACATTGTAGGATTTTTAATGAATTTATTTGCAAATTATGGTGGAAAATAATTATTTGGTCAATAACAAAAGTTTCTCAATACTTTGTTATATATGGCAATGACACAGGTCAAACGTTTTCTGTAAGTCTTCACAAGGTTTTCACACACTGTTGCTGGTATTTTGGCCCATTCCTCCATGCAGATCTCCTCTAGAGCAGTGATGTTTTGGGGCTGTCGCTGGGCAACACGGACTTTCAACTCCCTCCAAAGATTTTCTATGGGGTTGAGATCTGGAGACTGGCTAGGCCACTCCAGGACCTTGAAATGCTTCTTACGAAGCCACTCCTTCGTTGCCCGGGCGGTGTGTTTGGGATCATTGTCATGCTGAAAGACCCAGCCACGTTTCATCTTCAATGCCCTTGCTGATGGAAGGAGGTTTTCAATCAAAAAAGGTTCTATTTTGGTTTCATCTGACCATATGATATTCTCCCAATCCTCTTCTGGATCATCCAAATGCACTCTAGCAAACTTCATACGGGCCTGGACATGTACTGGCTTAAGCAGGGGGACACGTCTGGCACTGCAGGATTTGAGTCCCTGGCGGCGTAGTGTGTTATTGATGGTAGGCTTTGTTACTTTGGTCCCAGCTCTCTGCAGGTCATTCACTAGGTCCCCCCATGTGGTTCTGTGATTTTTGCTCACCGTTCTTGTGATCATTTTGACCCCACGGGGTGAGATCTTGCGTGGAGCCCCAGATCGAGGGAGATTATCAGTGGTCTTGTATGTCTTCCATTTCCTAATAATTGCTCCCACAGTTGATTTCTTCAAACCAAGCTGCTTACCTATTGCAGATTCAGTCTTCCCAGCCTGGTGCAGGTCTACAATTTTGTTTCTGGTGTCCTTTGTCAGCTCTTTGGTCTTGGCCATAGTGGAGTTTGGAGTGTGACTGTTTGAGGTTGTGGACAGGTGTCTTTTATACTGATAACAAGTTCAAACAGGTGCCATTAATACAGGTAACGAGTGGAGGACAGAGGAGCCTCTTAAAGAAGAAGTTACAGGTCTGTGAGAGCCAGAAATCTTGCTTTTTTGTAGGTGACCAAATACTTATTTTCCATCATAATTTGCAAATAAATTCATTAAAAATCCTACAATGTGATTTTCTGGAGAAAAAAAATCTCAATTTGTCTGTCATAGTTGACGTGTACCTATAATGAAAATTGCAGGCCTCTCTCATCTTTTTAAGTGGGAGAACTTGCACAATTGGTGGCTGACTAAATACTTTTTTCCCCCACTGTGTGTATATATATATATATATATATATATATATACACACACACACACACACACACACACACACACACACACACACTACCAGTCAAAAGGTTGGACACACCTACTCATTCAAGGTATTTTCTTTATTTTTACTATTTTTTACATTGTAGAATAATAGTGAGGACATCAAAACTATGAAATAACACAAAAAAGTGTTAAACAAATCGAAATATATTTTATATTTGATTCTTCAAATAGCAACCCTTTGCCTTGATGACAACTTTGCACACTCTTGGCATTCTCTCAACCAGCTTCACCTGGAATGCTTTTCCAACAGTCTTGAAGGAGTTCCCACATATGCTGAGCACTTGTTGGCTGCTTTTACTTCACTCTGCGGTCCGACTCCTCCCAAACCATCTCAATTGGGTTGAGGTCAGGGGATTGTGGAGGCCAGGCCATCTGATGCAGCACTCCATCACTCTCCTTCTTGGTAAAATAGCCCCTACACAGCCTGGAGGTGTGTTGGGGCATTGTCCTGTTGAAAAACAAATGACAGTCCCACTAAGCCCAAACAAGATGGGATGGCGTATCGCTGCAGAATGCTGTGGTAGCCATGCTGGTTAATTGTGCCTTGAATTCTAAATATATCACCAACAGTCTCACCAGCAATGCACCCCCACACCATAAACAACCTCCTCCATGCTTTACATTTGGAAATACACATGCGGAGATCATCCGTTCACCCATACCACATTTCAGAAAGACACAGCGGTTGGAACAAAAAATCTCTAATTTGGACTCCAGACCAAAGGACACATTTCCACCGGTCTAATGTCCATTGCTCGTGTTTCTTGGCCCAAGCAGGTCTCTTCTTCTTATAGGTGTCCTTTAGTAGTGGTTTCTTTGCAGCAATTCGACCATGAAGGCCTGATTCACACAGTCCCCTCTGAGCAGTTGATGTTGAGATGTTACTTGAACTCTGTGAAGCATTTATTTGGGCTGCAATTTGTGGTGCAGTTAACTCTACTGAACTTATCCTCTGCAGCAGAAGTAACGCTGCGTCTTCCTTTCCTGTGGCGGCTCTCAGAGCCAGTTTCATCATAGCGCTTGATGGTTTTTGCGACTGCACTTGAAGAAACTTTCAAAGTTCTTGAAATTATCTGGATTTACTGACCTTCATGTCTTAAAGTAATGATGGACTGTCATTTCTCTTTGCTTATTTGAGCTGTTCTTGCCATAATATGGACTTGGTCTTTTACCAAATAGGGCTATCTCCTGTATACCACCTCAGCACTATAGCTCCTCAGCTCGTTGCTGCTGGAGTGAAGCATGTGCTTTTATAAGCCCAGTCATTGCGCAACTATTCTAAATGCAGTCACGTGTTTACAACAGTTTTGAAGGCCACGATTAAAAAATTGCTATTTTTTTTCTCAACTGGTCATTGAAACACGCCTCCCATTCGCCTTTCAAGTGCATAGGCAACGGTAGGCAGGCTATCAGCGCGTCACGCACCACTTTGCAATAAGAGCTGGAGGCAGTATGTATTTTGAAAATGGATACTTAATTGTTTGAACCCTGAACGTTTTACTTCATATTATGAGGCATGTCTTACCTTGCTTCAAAGTAGCCCAGGCAACCCTGATTGGGTGCCATTTGGGACGCAGACCTAGGAGTGAAAGGAAAGAGATTAGAGGATGCAGCGTTTGTGAATTTAAGAACACCTCCTTGGGTGGGTGTGTGCGC